AGTAAAATATGGAGCAACTTCTCAGAAGAGTCCTATTCTGTCTCAAACGCAAAGCAACCAGCAGAAACCGGACAGCCGTGGGGATCCTGAACCCACCGACGGTTCTTAAATTCAGAATCTCAGCCCCTCCCTTACCATTCAATGCAATGCTTCCGGTAGCTGACATTCACCTGTACGAAGGCGGGAGGGAAGAGCCGCTTCAGTTTTTCATGTCCTTCATGACTTTGCATACAAATGGTTCAGCTGTATTAAAATTAAGTGCATTTGGCCAATAGGTAGTATCTATACAGTAACAGTCTCTAAGAATTTCCGTCACTTTTCTTATCCGAAAGGACTCAAGTCTTCCACTGCAGATAATTGGAGACTTCACCCAAGTTTTCTTCCCCTTTAGTTTTGTTTGTTTGCTGTCTGGACGGCCAGCGAGCCGGTCTCCTTTTCCGTTGGCCAGTCTGAAGGTTTGCATTGGAAGTGCTGTTTACAGCAGTCCTTGCTCGGATGACACACTGTCCTCCGGGAATATCAAGTCTGGCGTGACTGCCATTGGCTTAGAGCTGTGTCTTCACAGTTAACCAAGAAGCTGGGCGTGTACGTTTCCTCTGGTTCTTACGTGAACCACCACTCTTATTATCTGGCCCAGGAATGGGGTAAATTGTTCAGTCAGTGAACATTTAGCTTGATACCTGCACATTCGGTCCCGCGAATACTGCCCTTTTGGCCTTTTGGGGTGGCTTCTTCCTCCTCAGTCTTCGCCTGTAGACCCATTTAGGGTCAGGCGAAGGGAGGCCTTGGGAGATCCCTGCCAGTTTTCGTGGTGGCCTTGGTTTAAGACAGTCCTAACTTCTGGCCAGTGGGGCTCAGAGCCATCTCTGAGATTCGTACCACTGTCTCTTTTAACGATCAGATCATTACCCACCAAACTTCCAATCGTACGCCTCCCACCGGCCAAGGGAAAAGAGACACCAGAACTTTGGGGCACTATCAGACTGACATGGCCAGTACAGAGGAGAACGAGGGAAAGAATGTTTTGCACCTTATTGAAAAGAAAAAAATTTTAAGTGCATACATAGTTAAGAGCTTTTATTGTGACAGAACTTTTTTCCATATGCGTGCATACTCTCTGTAATTCCAGTGTAAAATATTGTACTTGCACTAGCTTTTTTAAAACAAATATTAAAAAAAATGGAAGAATTCATATTCTATTTTCTAATCGTGGTGTGTCTATTTGTAGGATACACTCGAGTCTGTTTATTGAATTTTATGGTCCCTTTCTTTGATGGTGCTTGCAGGTTTTCTAGGTAGAAATTATTTCATTATTATAATAAAACAATGTTTGATTCAAAATTTGAACAAAATTGTTTTAAATAAATTGTCTGTATACCAGTACAAGTTTATTGTTTCAGTATACTCGTACTAATAAAATAACAGTGCCAATTGCAAATGTGTGTCCTTGCCTCTGTCGGGTCCTTGAAGAAAGAGGAGGTTGAGAAAAGAATGCCCTGGGTGACCCCTGGGTCGGGTTGTACTGGGGAGTGGGTGTAAGGTAGTGCCTTTGCTAGGAATGCTTTTTGGGGAGGTTGGGGGAAAGGCTTGCCCACGCCGGAGATGAGATTCTGAGATAAAAGGCACGTTCCAACATCCCACGTTTGGCTTATTCAGTTCATGTTTATTTCCTCCTCGCTCAACAATGCTGTTTACAAGAGATCTTTGTTTCCAAACAGCATTTGGCAGCTTCATGGGACCCGAGTAGCGTTATCTATACATTCTGGAACAGTGTGGCCACACACCGGTTAGTGGTGTGAAGGTGGAAAGTTCCTTCGGATTTCCTTTAGCTCATGCCTGACAGAAAACTCAGCTGGCCAGAGGAGCCCCCTTTTGTCTCAAGAACGCTGCTCAGGGGGCGCCTGTGTGGCTTAGTCGGTTGAGCGTCCGACTTTCGCTTAGGTCATGATCTCGCGGTTCGTGGGTTCGAGCCTCGCGTCGGGCTCTGTGCTGACTGCCTGCTCAGAGCCTGGAGCCTCTTTCAGTCTGTGACTCCCTCTCTCTCTGACCCTCCCCTGCTCACACTCTCTCTCTCTCTCCTAGAAATAAATAAAAAAATTAAAAAAAAAAAAAAAAAAGAACGCTGCTCAGGTCAGTAGGTCTGCCCTGGGTCCCTACTCTCAGGCAGAAATGGCTTCGCAGTTACTCCAGAAAGTAATTCCCCAGAGACCCATGCAGGTGAACACCCCCCCCCCCATCTGCACATGGGGCTATAAAATCCTTCCCCAGAGATGGGAAAGGAATTCTCCGTGCTAAATTCAGGGTTTTCACTGAGCCCAGGGAGGACTGGGTAACCCCTTCCTTGTGCTGTCTTCCTGGTTCAATGTTTCGGGGAGGGGTGGGGCTCTCTGAGACCCCTCTGGGGGCTTTGCATTGAGATCCTGACGCGCTGGGAACATCAGTGCTGAAAGCGTGTGCATGGCACCATCAGGGATCAGGGGACCCTTGCAGCCCACGAGAGGTCCCCTCCTCCAGGGCAGCCTGGACAGATGAGCCACCTGCTATATGAGCTGCTAACAGTTCCGAGAGGTTGGGGCCCAGAGGCTGCAGGCTTAGCTCAAGGGTTCAAATGAGGGGAAAAGTTTCATGTGCCGCAATGAGGCAGGCCTTGAAACCCTTAAAAGCAAGGCAGGGGCAGCCCTTGGCGAATGGCGTCTCATTCACGGACACCTCTCCCCACGGGTATCCTGCACGACACCTGATACCCGGCCTCAGGCTCCCCGGGGCCCATCGCTATTGGAGGCAGAGATGCGCGGAGGAAGGCAAAGCATTTAACGGGGCCTTCACGGAGCTTTTTGCAAAATCTCTGCTTCCAGGTGACTCACTTCCCTCAGCAAGGGACATGCCTCCAGCTGGGGGACACCAAGAGCAGGGAGTGGACAAAACCTTTACACAAGCTGGGAAAAGCAGCACAGGCCTCTGCAAAGAGCACAGCCTGTACTAGGCGGACGGGTGTCCCCATCCCAGACCACTGTGCGTGTGACACTGCAGCTGGATGTAAGAGGGGACCGTGGTGGGCCCAGGCTACGCAGGGGTGCCCAGAAAGCTCCCTTACTATTGCTGGTACATTTTGAATGGATTTCTTTAAGATCTGCCTTCTTTGACTTCTCTCCCTTACTTTGCAACAAAGAATCTCTTAAACATAGGCACTTGAGTAGAAAACCTCTTACACAGAAAGTGTGGGACTCAACCCTCAGGCAAGGCTGCGGAAAAGGTGCGGTGCCTCCAGCAAAACCCCACGTATTGCTCTTTGTTAATACAGCATCTGGGGGCGCCTGGGTGGCTCAGTCGGTTGAGCATCCGACTTCGGCTCAGGTCAAGATCTCTCGGTTCATGGGCTCAAGCCCCGTGTAGGGCTCTGTGCTGACAGCTTAGCTCAGAGCCTGGAGCCAGTCTTCAGATTCTGTGTCTCCCTCTCTCTCTGACCCTCCCCTGCTCATGCTGTCTGTCTCTCTCTCTCAAAAATAAATTAAAAACATTTTTTAAAAAACAGCGTCTAGCCTTGCATCTCAAACGTATAGCCAATTCATGTTTCCCCAAGTAGAAAAACAGTTCCTAATGGATTCAGGGGCAAAAAGTTTTACAACAGAGCTGAAGTTGCTGAACCCTTAAATGTGTTCTTAGAAGCCTAAAAATGGATAGTTTCCTGGAACGTTATGATTGGGGTGGATGCTTTGTACAGTGCGCGTCACCGCGGACATCAGCGTCCTTATACAGAAGCACCGTGCGATCCTTCTCTCTTCCAGGAGCGCCCCCTACTTTGTAAAGGAAAATCTACTCCTGAGTCAGCTTCTTTAAACCTTGTTTAAGAGAAAATCAAGTAACACATCCTGGTCTGCATATATTTTCCAGTCCTGATACTTGAGCAATGCTTCCAAAGAAGTGGCCAGTCATCATTTATCAATCCATGTTCACTGTCTCAACAAGTGCCCCAGTGAACGTTCCCCCAAGGCCCCGGGTCCTTTCTCCAGAAAAATACCATTGCTACCGGCCAGTGAATTGGCCACTTTACAATAATACCAGCTGGCCCTTCCTTGACAGTATTAATGGACTCGACATTGGAAAACTTCTCACTCCGATTTTAAACCAATGACTTTTAAAAATCCACGGGTCACGGTGTTTTCTGTCTCTCAGTGGGATTCCACTTGCCGAGGTTTTAGTGGATAACCTTTCAATCAAACATCCCACGGCGCTTCAAAATAACGTATAGTCTCTTTAAGAGAGAGGCCAGCCTAACAGGCTGGGACGGAGGAGGGAAAAGGAAGGAGAACAAAACTCAATGAAAACCGGGGACGGGGACAGCATCCTCTAAGCAGCCCTGACCCTGTAGTGACAGATACCTGTTCCCAGAAGGCACGTGTAACACAGGTAGTAACAACGTGTAGCCACACCCCTGCGAGGATCTGCAGGAAACCAGTTCTCCAAGTTCATGTATCTAGTCAGGTGCTTTTTGTTCTTTTGCAGCAACCAAAAGCAAAGGAGGGGAGGGGCCGGTTACTCTGGGAGGGGCCTGGCCACCCAATCCTCTCCTCCCCTCCCCACCCCTCCCCTCCCCTCTCCTCCCTTCCCCTCCCCTCTCCTCCCTTCCCCTCCCTCCTCCTCCCCTCCCCTCTGTGACTGCTAGAGCCCAAGCGTGAGAAGTAGGTAGAAAACTCCCAGCTCCCTTGACAACCTACTTCCTGCAAAGGCAAACTCCATCATTCCACCAAGTCTTAAGATAATTGCATTATATTAAAGTGAAACCATTTTTCTTTAAAAAAGAAAGACAGAAAGACAGAAAGACAGACAGACAGACAGACAGAAAAAGAAAGAAAGAAAGAAAGAAAGAAAGAAAGAAAGAAAGAAAGAAAGAAAGAAAGAGAAAGAAAGAAAGAGAAAGAAAGAAAGAAAGAAAGAAAGAAAGAAAGAAAGAAAGAAAGAAAGAAAGAAAGAAAGAAAGAAAGAAAAGAGAAGGAAGGAAGGAAAAAGAAAGAATGAGAACGAGAATGAGAAGAAGAAAAAGAAAAAGAGGAGTTGATCTGAACAGTGAGGTCATGAGTTCCAGGCAGCTGGGCTCTGGCCACAGCCCCGGTCAGCGCCCGGCTTCCGGGCCCCCGGAAGGCACTAGGAGAGCCCCAAAGCCTCCGGGCAGCAGGTAGGGGAGCAGGAGGCGGTAGTCCAGCATTCAGGAGCAGCCAGAAACTCTGCTGTGACAGGAGGTGGGAGGTGCGAAAGCAGGTGTACGTGGAAGGTTCCATGAGCCGGAAGTCGCCTCATCCTCAAGGTTAGCTGAACACAGTGTTGTGCTGTTGAGTCACCCGGATGAACGTCGCCCTCCTGCTGAGCTCTTTGAGTTTGGCGGCCCCCACGTAAGTGCACGTAGACCTCAGTCCTCCAAGAATATCCAGAATCGTGTTTTGTACATCCCCTTTGTAAGGCACTTCCACAGTCTTACCCTCAGAAGCTCTGCAAGAAAAAGGAAGCTTTTCTTTTCATGTTTTTTTTCCCCTTACGACTCCAGCTGGAGTTACTCCCAGCGTTAGCTTAGCGCTTGACCCAACCCCCAGGCACTCAGGTAGCTCCATGGCCCCCTCTCACCCCAGCCCCACGTTGCTACAAATGCCAAGCCGATGTTGCCAGCATCTCAGGTGGATGCATTTCTCCCATCCAAAATGCACACACAGCCTCGCTGCTGGCTACCGGGAGCGCCTGAAAAAGGAAAGTCCTTGTCAGCAGCCCTGGAGGAAGTAGACCCCTCCCGGCCCGCGCGGTCACCCTCTCAGCAGAATCCTCTCTCTGCCACCTGCTGCTACTCTACCTTCATCTCTACCCCGGTGTCCTGTTGACTCAGAGCCCAAGAGGAAGAACGGATATGGCGGCATACCTCTTGAACAACCTCCCCCTCAATTGCCTACAACTAAGAGATGAAGAGGACGTCACTACAGTGTCCCACATACAATGGTTTGACTCCACCCTGGTGCAGAGCCATCCGCATTCAGTAGAAGCCATACGTCACCAGCTGAGCTTGGATCCTTTCCCAAGCTAGTGGTGTGCATACAATCCTCACCTGTGATGCAGGCCATCGATGGCCACAGCTACATCAGCCCCGGGATCGTGAGGGTGAATGATCCCAATACACCAACCAACCACCCAGCACCCGTACAACCTGTCTATACCGTTTTCCAGTAGAGTATTCGATCAATTACATGAGATGTTCAACACTTCATTATTAAAAAGGCCTTGTGTTAGTGGATTCTGCCCAACTGTAGGCTAACAGAACTCCTCTGAGCACATTTAAGGTGGGCTAGACTGAGCGATGACGTTCAGTGGGTCAGGTGTATTAAATGCATTTCAATTTATGATATTTTCAACTTAAGATGGGTTTATCAAGACATAGCGCCGTAAGTCAAGGAAGATCTGTAAAATGGACGACTCAAGTCCTGTTCAGTTGCATGGACATTCAGTCTGGACTTGTTTTTCGAGAAGGAAGGAAATCTCCAATCTATGCAAAACCCCTAGCCTTCGTCTAAGGCTCGGGCAATCTGGAAATTCTAACAATTCACCCACTTCTGGACATTTCTTTTCTGGTCTCTTCAACTAGGAAAAATAGCATCTCTCAATCAGAAACTCATTACCCAGAATTTCAAAATAGTATTAACTCTGGTTGCTCTGAAATCCACACATCTAAGGGGACCCTCAAGTGCAATGAAATCTACCCCCTTAAACCACTGACTAGACCAAGCCGGCCTCATGGCTGGTTCAGAACATCGAGCTCACGGAGCCCAGCACCGGCCACCCCCGAGAGGATTCGCATCACCACGCTCTGTGACCGGGGACATGAGCCCGCAGTGACTGACGTTTCACTTTTTCAAAGAGATTCCCCTGGCTTGCTTCTCTGCTCTCATCGTTGCTTCTCTGCTAACTGGTGACGGCACCTCGAAGCTCAAGCCTTCTCATCTGTAAAGCGAAGGGACTTTATTCTGTCTCCCAGGAACAGCGTGAGGATAAATGGTTAATGGTGGGGAAGGAACCAGCAAGGCATAAATAGCTCTACCTTAATTAAATATAACCTCAAAGGAGGACCATTCTTGTGAGGAGACTGTAAACTGCCAGAGAAAAAAAAAAGAGGAAGAGACAGGCAGGGAGGGAGGGAGACAGAGAGACAGAAAAAACCAGACGCAGCCTGCAGGGCCCGGGCTGCCTCCAGATTGAGGTTCTAATTCCTTCAGCACTTCCCTTTCTTGTCTAATCGGCTTCCAGAACGGAGTCCTGATACGCTTGAGTCTTCTATTTTCGTTTTGTCTAAACCCTGCTGAAATTACAGATGGGTTTTTCTTTCGGCTCCTTGGCTTCCGTGTGTGCTATAACCTGGTCTGCCCTTCCCTGTCTACTTCCCTTGGAACCCAAAACAGACGCAACAGCTAGAGGGCAAAAAAGGTCCTCCAGGCGAGGAATCCAGCTGTCATATAACCACAGTGGCTCCGCTTAACACCCCAGCACACGGTAGACACTGCACCGGCCCTCAGGTTAGGAAGGTGGTTGCTAGTAAAGCGTGAAGCTTCTGGGCCCGAGGTCTGGGGTGCCGCCGAGGCAGTGATGCTCAGCCTGCCCATCCTCATGAGCCGTGCAACCCCCTCCATCGGGCACAGCGTGGGAGAGAGAGCGTTCTTCTGTTCTGACTGAAGCTCCAGGATGATGGAAGAAGCGCAGTCCCCTATTCCTGCCCCCCGCCCTGCCTTCCCTACGCTGCATCATCATCGTGATGCTGAGATTCCTCTTCCAAAGGAGAAAGAGGCTGCAGAGAATGGGAATGGACATCTGTCCGCCATATCCCACGGAAGCACGGAACCCTGGCGGAGCCCCCCCACACCTCTCCCCTGCCCGCCCGTGAATCCCAGCGGGGTTCTGAGATCTTCCCTCCAGCTCGATCTGAACCTCCCACAACACTTCTGTGACCCATGTCCTCGAGATGAGTTTTCAAGTATTAGATGTGAGGTAGGAAATGGAGGGTGTCCGCCAGGGAGGGCTTCAGTTTCATCCCAGTGCCTGAGCGTTCCTGGAGAATGCAGACTTCCTTCTGAGGACGCAAGGCCTTCTGCCCCGTCCACTTAGTGGGACCTGTCAGCAGGCTAACGCTGATGAGAAGCAATAGCAGCTTCTATGGAACAAGGGCCGGCCATGGCCATGTGCCGTCCTGCGGGTCGTAAAACATGCATGCAGACAATTAAAACGGAAGTGAAATTGGAAATGTCCAGGTTATCTTTTGGGATCGTGGATTTGTTAAAAAAAAAAAAGATAGGCAGAAGTAAGCATCCTTTCTGCAGTGCAGTCAGTGACACAGTTAAATGGCTAAAAATGCTGCCTGTGTCAACTGTCAGAGCGTGGAGGCAGCTGAGAGTCTTACGGTAGAGGAAACACAGCATCCTTCTGGATGGTCTGACCCCCATGCAGCTGTGAGCACCATACCTGTTGCATCTGCAGTGGGAAACCCAATCTTCAGCCCAATGCTCACAGCCCGAACTCGCTCCAGGAGAGAGATCGGCAGTTACGGGGCTGGCTGAGCAAAGGCTCTACGGAAGGACAGGGCAAACATATTCCTGCCCATCCCCTGGAAGTCTAAGTGCCACCTTCCCGACTGGTTGCCCCCTTGTCCATTTCCATCTCTGTGCCAAGACATTTCTGCTCTGCGTGTCCTTAGGAAGGCCCCCAACACAGCAAATGCTGGCTGGATAAAAACTGGGACTATTTAAAAAGAAGCAGGATGGAGCACCCGCGTGGCTCAGTCCATTGGGTTTCCAACTCTGGCTCAGGTTATGATCTCACGGTTTGTGGGTTCAAGCTCCACATCAGGCACTGCTCTGTCAGCACAGAGCCTGCTTCAGATCTTCTGTCTCCCTCTCTCTCTCTGCCCCTCCCCTGCTCAGGCTCTCTCTCTCCCTCGCTCAAAAATAAAAAACAAACATGAAGAAGAAGGAGAAGGAGGAGAAGAAAGATACGTTCCCTAGCTTCCTCCCACGGTCCGTTAGTATCAACAGAACTGGTATTCGAGCTCTGCTTCCACCCTGTTCATGTAAATACGAGGCGTCGCCCACGAAGGGCGCTGGCGCTCCCCCTCACCTGTATTCGGCAACCCCTCCTGCGTGTTTCTTCATCGCTGTTTCGGAGCTCATCCCGTAGAAGAGCTTGAGCTTCTGCCCGTTCTTCTCAATCACCTCCCCGGCACACTCCGTGTGGCCCGAAAACATCCCTCCCAGCATGACGAAATCGGCTCCGGCTCCTGAGCCCCAACGGGGGAGAGGGGACAAGAAGAAGAGGAAAGAGCTCAGAGAACATCAGCTCTAGAAGGATCCACGTGCCGCGCCAACTCACCCCTCCCTGCTCCTTGCAATACTCAAGACGAAGAGTTCAAACTCACCTTTTTTGGAAAATGTTAAGAAGGCTCGCCAGCAGGGAGATGGGCACCGGACGCCCAGAGGGAGAAATGCAGCCTGCTGGTGGCTGGTGGCTAATGCACGAGACAATCCTTAATGGTAACTGATGACCAACTATGAGCACCTTCCCACAGAGGTCTAAGTCTTGTCATCAGAGCAGCCTGAAGAACTGGGCAGCATTTTCTACAGCGTGTTGCCTCCTCTCCTCCCCTACAGTCACTCCTCTGGTGTTCCCAACAGGCATCTGGTCTACCTTAGGCTATCAGCACCCTCACACTCTGCCTGTGTAGATCATGGAAGACCTTGAACAAACCGAAACTTTTACACCGGGGACTGGGAATTGAGAAACCTACAGGCTGGCTATATACGGCACCAAAGCTGCCTCTCCAGCGTCTATCAAAGGGCATGGCACATGGTTGATGTAGAGTTACTGGCTGTCAAGAAAGGATAAGGCGTATGTAGAAGAACCAGAAATCTCCCCACTGTCCAGCCTGTCCCTGGATGCGTATGCGGTCTCTCCACAGACTATGAACTTCTCCTGAGGCCTATGGAGGGTTTACGTTTAGAACCCGAGGACATCAGGGTCCAGACGGACTCAGTAATTAGGGTAAAGGGCAAGGAGGAGCAGCAAGCATGGGAACCCCGGAGAAGCGGCCCTGACCTCTTCTTTCGGGCCAGGGACGTATTTACAGGAGGGCTCTGGGATTTGCATTAGGCGTGCCAGGGCCTTGTGTCCAGCAGTTCAGAAAAGCAGGCTCTACAAGGCTGGCCCCTTGGCCTGGCATCGGACAAGCCACATACAACGGGACCCTCCTACATGGCAGCAAGATTTATAGGTCCTTCATTCCCGGGCCCCTATCCGGAATACTGGATGCTTGGCCACCCTGCCATGACTTTAAGGGGGCAGAGGGAAACTGGCGTCCAGCCAGGCCTCTCCCCCCAACCAGAGGGGATCCCCAAGACCAGGAACTGTTATCTACGAGGCATCTTCTTAACGACCAGTCACTTTAAAGTATGCCAGCCCCTCCTCTGTGCAGGGAGCCCAAGCCAGACCACCCACTGGCAGGAAGTAGATTTGGTGCAAAACTCAGTAACAAAAACATCTTTAGCTAATGGGTAAGTGAGCCCAGTAGTGTGGGGGACTCCTGATTCTCCCTGCTCTGCAGCAGCCTGTGGGACGCCGACCCTGTCACTCCCTCTCAGGGCCTCGGCCTCCACAATGATCAAGGAGGCCCTCTGGATTACACAGAGATGACCCCCATGTTCCATTCCATAACCGAGATGCTTGATTAACCAGCTCTGGCAGACAGACCTTGGCACTTGGCCAAGGGTGAGCTGCGGGCGGAGGGGACAGTGCATGGAGACGCTGCCAGCCAGCCCAATGCTTTCCTGCTTTCCCGAGGAAAGGCCGGGTGGCCCCAAAGCCCCACAGCATCACAGCTGCACGCGGCTGCCCCATGCTGGGAAACAGGCACCTCGGCCCTGGGCCTCGGTGAGAGTGCTGGGGGGCTCTGGCCCCTCCCAAAAGACTCCCCCTGCTTCAGTTCCCCTGCCTGAGGTCACTGTGGACCTGATACTGGCCTCTTCCACAGGCAGCCTGAGCCTTCTAAGCCTGGCTTGTAGGCTGTGGCCCCGCGTCTATACCCCAGGATGCCGGCTGGGTGGGATCAGGCATCAGGATTCTGGCCAATCGGGGCTGAAGTCCAGAGACAGGAAACTCAGGCCGGGCTTAGGATTCCCCCAGCAAGCCCCGCCTCCCATTCCGGTTCCCACCGGAGGCCAGCAGGGCTGCGGGGTGCTCCCTCCCCGCCCTCCCTCCCTCCTTCCTTCCCTGTCCCCTTACCAAAGGCTTTGGCGACATCTCCCGGACAAGTGCAGCCTCCGTCCTTCGAAGAGGAAAAAGCAAGGAGAGGGAGTCAGCGGGGTGTTCGGCCAGGCTGTCCCCTCCCCTGGGGTCATCGGGATGGGATATCCGCGATATCCGGATGCACCCCTCCTCTCCCCACCCCCACCCGGGCCAAGGGCAAGCCCCCAGCCAAAGTCAGCGACCCTCAGGGCCAGAGCCCGGTGCTCCCCAGCTGCCGTGGCCTCACTCCGTTTGCTCTCCTCAATGTAGCACCTGCTGTCCCCCAAGCCCTGCGTCCCCCCCTAGGATCTGCCATCCCCTGCAAGCCCAGGGCAGAGGGTCTCCCTCAGGAGCCGCTCTTGAGACCTCCCCCACCCCTGCCCCGCTAGCCCCTCACACAACATGCGGGGTCTGGGCCTTCCCAATTCATGTCTCATTCAAGGAGTCCCCTTTCCCTCCCTGCCTGGCGTGAGGTGAGGTTTATTTAGCCCAAGAGTGGAATTATTTTAAGCTCCGGAAAAAGGACACAGAGTTAGTTCCTTTATGATTCCAGCCGCCACATGCGTCTCCGATTCAACTTTATGTAACTCACCCAGTAGGCTTAAAATCAAACCTGCATCCCGGAGCCGCCGCCCCTCCCCGCCACCACCAATGGGGCGCTCGCGCCAGGGGCCGGTGAGCACCCAGCAGGGCCGTCACCCTGGGCTGCCCAGCAGGTGCATCCTTGGGGGCTCTATCTCCGCACCAGCGACGCAGTGCACAGCTTCCCGGATGCAGGGCCCACCGCGCGTCCTCACAGACACAGGCTGCCGCCTGCTAGTCAGTGCGGCCTATGTCAAGTCCAAGGGGGAGGCCAGCGAGGGCGGCCTGGACTTGCAGCCGGATCCCACACAGAGAGAGGCAAGGAAGCAAAGGCCAGGGGTAGCAGGGTCAGAGCGGATGTGATGACAGAGCCCTGGGCCCAGAGCAGGCGTGGGAGGAACTCGAAGGTCAAGTCCGGGAGGTGGGACCTGCCCATAAAGAGATGAGCTTCTCTGACCCCAGGGGGCCAAGGGTGCTGAGGAACGGTCACGTCGGAAGTAGTCTCTCAATGGAAGTGACATGGCCAAGCCGTCCATGCAGACAGCGCCGGGACGCGGGATTGTACCTCGTGTTGATGTGTGGATGCTTCCACACGTCAGCATGGCTACTCTCTCTTCAAGGTACAAACCCCCTATACGCCCTTTGCTGGTCCTGCCAATTTTCAAGTGCTTTATCTCTTTATCAAAGAGTGGGTGGCTCAGTCCGTGAAGCGTCCAACTTTGGCTCAGGTCGTGATCTCACGGTTCATGAGTTCGAGCCCTGCGTCGGGCTCTGCGCTGACATCTGGGAGAGCCTGGAGCCTGCTTCGGATTCTGTGTCTCCCTCTCTCTCTGTGCCCCTCCCCAGCTTGTGCATTTGCTCTCTCCCCTCTCTCTCAAAAATAAATAAACATTAAAAAGTGTCTTAAAAAAAAAAAAGAGCACTCCATGATGTGCCGCAGAGAGGAAATCATACTTACGGCATCTCCTACTCACTTTGCTTAGGGACACGTTTATAAATAGACAATGCAGCCCAAAGAAGCCAGGCTGTGCATTTAACCCAGTGCAATCCGACGTCCCATAATGCCTTCGGGCAAAGGAGTCTGCTCCCTTCTACCGTCAAGGGGTCACTTGCAAATATTGTTCAAAGCACCCTCTCATGTATCCAGGGGGCAGGGCTGTTAGGGGCAAATCTCTGCAATCTAAGACACGCATCTATTTTCACTTACAAACATGCACAGCTGCTGAAAGGTCGTCAGAAACAACGTGCAAATATTCCAAGAGCTGCTTGTTTTTGTTGTTCAAGAGCGTTAACATTGTATTTTAGTAGAAACAGCATCACATGAGTGGTAGGAACCTGCTCTGTGATGTGTCAGCCTCTCTTTTCTTCTTCAAAATACCTGCTCTTGGAGCGCCTGGGTGGCTCAGCCTGTTAAGTGTCTGACTTCAGCTCAGGTCATGATCTCTAGGTTCATGGGTTCGAGCCCTGCATCGGGCTCTGTGCTGACAGCTCAGAACCTGGAGCCTGCTTCTGATTCTGTGTGTGTGTATCTCTCTCTCTCCGCCCCTCCCCCACTTGAGCTCTGTCTCTCTCTCTCTCTCTCAAAAACAAATAAGTATCCAAAAAATTAAACAAACAATCAAAAAACCCCTGCTCTTCTCTCAAATGCAGGTTGGTGAAAGCAAGTAAGGAAGAGGCAGAGGGAATGCACACAAACACCTACTATGGGCCAGAGGGGTATGACAAAGCTCATTTTTCTACTTCAACACCACTAGAACCCAAAGTTGATAGTTTGTAGATGGTGAGGGAAATGAGCAGGTGCAGGGGAGCCGGCTCAGGAAGGTTGAGTGCCTTGCCCAAGGTCACACAGCTATAATAATGGAAGAAGAAGATTAGAACCCGGGTTAAGAGTACACTCTGAAAGTGTCTAGAAGCACACTTATCAGAACATGAGCAGTGGTTGTTATCTTAAGAGCTCAGCAGTTCTAGCAATCTTCATATTTATCTGTATTTTCTCACTTTTTCTAGGCTCAACCTATTTTAGGGGGGAGGGAATTTCTCAGGCCTCAAAAAAATTCAATTATTTTGAGAGAGAGAGAGAGAGGAGACAGGCAAAGACAGGCAAAGAGAGAGAGAGAGGAAGACAGAATCCCAAGTAGGCTCCATGCTGCATGGAGCCTGACATGGGGCTCAAACTCACGAACCGTGAGATCACGACCTGAGCCAAAATCAAGAGTCAGACGCTTAACTGACTGAGCCTCCCAGGCATCCCACTTGGTTTAGGTCTTTCTAAAGAATTGTCTAAGTGCTTCTAAGGTGCTATATTAAATCATTAAAATTATCGGAGATTTTGCAGATCCATCTTTAACTCTCTGCAGAGGGTCAGTGGGCCAATGTGAGCACTAGTGACCACGTTTAGAGAAGGGAGGTTTGGGGATTATAATCATCTGGTTCCTCACCCCTCACCGTTACTGGCCCTTCATGATGCAGGGCCTCCTGAGCCTTGATACGCACGCTCTCTCGGCCTACAGAAAATGTGCTCATTAAAACGCTGGAGCTGTGGGAGCGCCCAGGCGACTCAGGTGGTTAAGCATCCAACTCTTGACTTCGGCTCAGGTCATGGTCTCACGGTTCCTGGGTTCAAGCCCCACACTGGGATCTGTACTGACAGTGCAGAGTCTGCTCGGCGTTCTCTCTCTCTGACCCCCCCTCACTTGCTCTCTCTCTGCCTCTCTGTCTCTCTATGTCTCTCTCTGTCTCTGTCTCTCTCTGTCTCGCTGTCTCTCTCTCTCACAACATAAATAAAAATAAACTTAAAAAAAATGCTGGCGCTTGGGTGCCTGGGTGGCTCAGTCAGTTAAGCACCGACTTGGGCTCAGAGAATGATCTCGCGGTTCGTGAGTTCGACCCCCACATCAGGCCCTCCACTCAGTGCTGTCTCCCTCTCTCCGCTTTGCCACCCCGCTCACACTCGTTCTCTCTCTCTCAAAAATAAATAAATATTTTTTAAAAAGAAAGAAAATGCTGGAGCGTGAGTTAAGAAGAAACAATGGTGATTAGTCAACGTCATCCTAGGGCTTCTTTCTAGGTCCTGTGCAGCATGACAAACCCCGGGCGCCCTCAGTTATCAGGGGAGAGTAAACTCACTGGGTGCTCAAAGCTCCCCTTCTAACCTCGGCGCACCGGGCATGGACTGTCCTCTCCCGCGGGAAGACGGGCGCGGGGCCGCGTGGGGAAGGACCAGCCGGGGAACACAGGGAGGTGATGTCTCCCGGAGCTGGAGCTGGAAACGGGAAAGAACTGGGATGGAAAGCGAGCAGATGGGGGCCGCCCCCACCCTGCATCTTCTGCAACTTCGGCAAGCCCTTCTTTTTCCCTCTCTTGGAGCCTCCTTATCTCCTAAGAGGGGGAAAGATGGGAAGTCAAGGGAAGCCGTGGATGCTGGGGACGAACAGACCCCTGTCTGAGTGCTGGCTCTGCCACTGCCGGCAGTGATCTCACCCAGTCACTTAAGACCCTGAGGCTTTAGCTCCTCAGCCGGTTGTGATGGCTAACTTTGTGTGTCAGCTGGGCTGGGCCACAGAGTGCCGAGAAATGCAGTCAAACGTTAGTCTGGGTGTTTCTGGAAGGGCTTTTTTTTTTTAATGTTTATTTTTGAGAGAGCGATAGAGAGAGCAAGCAAAAGTAGGGAGGGGTAAAGACAGATGGGGACAGAGGATCCAAAGCAGGCTTGGCGCTGACAGCAGAGAGCCCAATGCGGGGCTCGAACACATGAACCATGAGACCATGATGTGAGCCAAAGTCAGACACTTAACTGACTGAACCACTCAGAGGCGCCTGGGAGGTTTTGTTTTTTGTTTTTTGTTTTTTAAATGAGATTAACAGGGGTGCCTGGGTGGCTCAGTCGGTTAACCGTCCGACTTCAGCTCAGGTCATGATCTCACGGTTCGTAGGTTCGAGCCCCGCATCAGGCTCTGTGCTGACAGCTAGCTCAGAGCCTGTCTTCGGATTCTGTAACTCCCTCTCTCTCTGACCCTCCCCTGCTCGCGCTGTCTCTATCTCTCTCACTCAAAAATAAATAAAACATTAAAAAAATTTTTTTTTAAATAAATGAGATTAACATTTGAATCGGTAGACTGAGTAAAGAAAAGTGTCCTCCTCGGTGTGGGTGGGCTCCATCTCATCAGTTGAAGGTTTGATGGAACAAAAGGGCTCACCCTCCTTAAGTGAATTTTTCCTGAATGACTGTCTCTGAACTGGGACAGGGGCTTCTTCCTACCTTTTACCTCCAACTGAAGCATCAGCTCTTCCTCGTTCTCAGGCCTTCAGACTCTGACCCAGACTATCTAACTAGATTGCCAGCTCTCCTAGATCCCTGGCTTAGCAACTCCCCCTGCAGATCTCAGGGCTTCTCACTCCCCCGTAATCACATGAACCAATTCCTTATAATGACTACTCCCTCCCCCTCCTCTCTTGCCACACACACACACACACACACACACACACCTACACACACACGCACACACACTACTGTTCCCGTTTCTAGAGAACTCTAATACATCTGTCAAGTGAAGACAACAGCTAGTTTGCCAGGTTGTTCCAAGGACTAGAACTTATAAGTGATGTGTTCCAGGAATGGAATAGATGCTCAATACATAAGGAATAGCCATTCCTCCTTCTACGTCTGTTTCCACTTTTAAAATCCTCTTTTTTGTGCAATGTCCCTAGCTGATGATGACAAGACTCACTAGTCATACTTTAATCTTCACCCACGCAGGGGGTGTCCTGAATTTACAGCCCTGCTCCCTCAGAACCGCATGTGGGCCATAATAAATAGAAACCTAATTCAAGTCCAGCCTCCTGAGTGTAAGCACTTGCAAAGAGCCCCATGCTGTGGCTTCCTTTTCTGAATCTCAACAGCCTGGCTGTGCTCATTCAGCAACTAAAGTGTAAAATGACACAGTTGGAAGGAAACCAGACAGAGAGGCAGGATACAAAATACCTGGTGGGTTTCCAGGGGGTTTAGGGATGACTGGCAAGCGAGAGAAGCCTACTTGTGAATCCCTATCAAAGGGACAGTGGGAGACACTATCTAGCCAGGAGGAATGAGCTCAGGCCAAAGAGACAGGTCCCACGTGAGACTGTGAACTTCACCTGGTCTTCTGGCCACAAACTGAACTTCTGACCCCATCCGGGAAACCTCCCACCGTTACTGAGAGCCTCGGAGCACCAGGACCACAAGCCTGGGCTGTCACTATCTGTAACTGACAAATGCAGAGAAGCTGTTCCCTGGGCACCCGCTGATAAGACCTGGCTTTGAACCCTGACCCAACCAAGGTAGCTGAGCCTCCCCACTACGGAAACCAGCAGTTCTGAAAGTTGAGAGCACATCACAGTTACCTGGAGGGTTTGTTAAAACAGACTCGTGGGACCTCACCTTCAGAGCTGCCCATCGATCGATTCAGCAGGTCGGCCGAGAATTTCTAACAAGTTCTCAGGAGATACTGATGCTGCCGGTCTGGGCCCTACACTGAGAGAATTGCTAAAATAAAGGATCAATGATGTGGTGCTGGATAAAGAGATCCCAAGTTTATTTTCGGGGGCCGGTGGTACAAGCAGAGCAAAAATGGTCCATCAACTAAGCAGGTGTGAAGTTTCTAGAAGGACACAAGTGTGGGGAACTCAGAACACATTCATGGTAGAACCATTCATTGGACATTCATTGATTTGGAAATGGTGGCCATTCAAGGAATATATATGATATGGGGTTCATATCTTTTTTTAATTTTTTAAATGTTTATTTATTTTTGAGAGAGAGAGAGAGAGAGCGAGCACAAGCGGGGGAGGGCAGAGAGAGAGGGAGATACAGAATCCAAACCAGGCTCCAGGCTCTGAGCTGTCAGCACAGAGCCTGGCGCGGGGCTTGAACTCATAAACCGTGAGATCATGACCTGAGCCGAAGTCGGACCCTTAACCGACTGAGCCGCCCAGGCACCCCCGGGGTCTTTATTTTGATGAAGACTCTTATTGGTGAAAATGATCGTGTAACAGAGATTTATGACTAAATTACACCTGGTCCTTTTATGGCCACCTCTGAGGAGTCAACTTTGCTAAATGGGGTCCAGGGATGTCTCTTTAAGAAAGCTTCTGTGCCGCTCTCCCGTCACTATAGCCCAAAACAAGGTGAAAGTGATGACCTGAGAACTGCATCATGCGCCATACTGGAGGCTGATGCAGCCTGAGGGTCTCAGGGAGCTGGATCACCACATTCAGCAAAGGGCTTACGTCACAGTGAGTGGTGTTCCTCTGGGCACCAGGACAGGAGCTCAGGGAAGGGGTGAGGCGCGGAGGTCCTTACAACTCTCAGCAACCAATAAACCTTCCATCATCTATTCCGGCTTCTAGCACATAGGAGATGTTCCATAAAAACTTGCTGGTTGAATGGATGGAGGGATGAAAAACTTGCATGAAGAATTAGAAGTTGCACAGGAAGTCTGCACGGGATTGCAAGGTAACAACAGAATCCCAGCTCTGGGGAAGCAACAGCTATAGCAATCAATTGCTGGGGGGAGGCTCAACACGAGGCAGTGTGCACACAGGGGGGTGTAAAGTATATTATTATTACCCCAAAGCCAGTCCGGAAATCAAGCACCAACAGGCTGGGGACACTGAGCTGAAATCGACAAGGGGTCACTCTGTGGGGATCTGTCATTTGTGTGATGCATTTGTATGTTGTTTCTCAGTCGCCTACCAATTATTTAATGTGGGAGCCCGGCTTAGCAACCGAACACTGAAAAGGTCTGAGGGTTTCATTTAACATATCCATTTTATATATACGTATAGATTTATACATGTGCGTATAGATATGTGTGTATAAGAGCATCCACATAAGTGGAAGCCGCAATTGTTGAATTTGTCCGATTACACCCCACCTGTTCTGACCTGTTCTGAGCATCTCATCCGGAAGGAAAGAGCAAGCATACGTCTCTTTGACCGTCCTTAACGTTTAGGGGCTGAGCACCACACCACTGTCCTTCCAGGAGCTTCCTGCACGTGCTGCTAGATCACGGTCTCTGCCTCTCCTCACCCCTTCCCATCTGTTCTCAGCCCTCGGAAACGGAACTTCTGCCCCCAACAGGCCACTGCATCTGCTCTCACGCTGGTAACCAGGGACCAGTCACCGGCAGCATTTGACACTCTGCAGGGGTGATTAGCTAAGGTGAGGTCGTCCTGGAGGAGGGTGCACCCCCAGTCCAACATGACTGGCGTCCTCACACAAAGGAGAAACGTGGACACACGTGCATACGCGGGGCAGACGCCACAGGCACATGAGGCCACGGTACCGCCAGCCAAGAAACCACCAGAAGCTGCAGAGGCTGGAAACAGAGGCTTCCCCACAGCCCTGGTGACCCTGCGGATACCTCAATCTTAGACCTCTGGCCTCCATGACTGGGTCTTGTTTGATTCCCCCCAGGTTGGGGTGCTTTGTAGCAATTAGCGGCCCTCTCGTTCTCGCAGAGCTCGCCGAGTAACCCCCATCACGCTACCTACCTGCCGCCTTGGGTTCTTACTGACTACTGTGCCAGCTTCCCTCGGTGCAGAGGAAGTGGGGAGCCAGGCCTGGGTCTCTGCCCGATGTCACCGCTGTGACCAAGGTGACTCACTGCCAAGCCCACAGGATGCCACGGGGATGAGGGGCCAAGGAGCAGGGGCCCCCCTGAAGTCCCGAGATGTTCCCACGCCCATCCCCTGTCCCACGCCTGCCCCACCAGAGACTTACAGAGATGATGTGCCCCTTCAGGCCATGGGCAGAGTCCGCGCACTCGATCACGGCACTCAGCTGGGGGTAGCCCACCCCTGTCTTTGTGCGGGTGGTACACACGGAACCTGGATGGTGGGAGAAGCGAGGCCCGAAGACAGACGGTTAAGAACGAGCAGAACATGACACAAATAGAGCCTCCATCACCGGCACACAGCCCTGCCCCAATGTGCCCGGGGGCGGGGGGTGGGGGGGCTTTCTTTCCCTAGAGGAGGGGCAGGTGGATAAAACCACACCATCTGGCCTCGTCCCTTCCGGTCCTCACCGTCACCAACCGCTGCTGCCTGGGACGCCCTCCCCCCATACCCTCCACTGTCACTCGCCTATGCCATCAGCCCCCACCTCATGGCCACACGGACTGTCCCTGCGGACACTCTGTCCCTTTCCACGTCCCTCACTTTTCCTCATGACCACAGTATACTTCAAGGGACCCTGCCCGCTCCTCCCACGGCCTCTTTCCCTTCAATTTTGGCCAATCTCTAACTTCTCTGAGCCTCACGGCCTCGCCTGTGAAACTGCCAGCCTGGGGCTGCCACGGGGCCAGCAGTAAGCCCTGGAGCGAAGGGAGCGACTCTGACCCCCTTCTGGCACCCGCTCCCACCCGGGTGTGTCGGTGGGCCCCGGCCTCCGGGGCTTCACAACCACCCACCCCACCCCCGACCAGAGCCCCCGTCCAGCCTGGGCTGTGGGGTCAGCTTCCGCTTCAGGACTCAGACCGGCCTCCTGGACGCCTTCGCCCCCTTGACCTCTGCCCTCTGCCTTTCCCACGGTCAACCCGAGTCCCCGCTGCCCTGTCAGCAGAGTATTTTCCCCCTACGTCCAGGCCGAGTCGTGCCAAGAGCGCCGACGTCTCCAGCGCCCGCACCCCTGCTCAAGTCCCGTCCCTCCCTCCCGGCAAGGTAGCGCCCCTGCACCCCAAGATCACCCAGACCGAACTCCCAGATGTCCCCTGCCGCCCTCCTCTGCCACCTCTTCCTCCCTCCTGCTCCCCACGCGCCGGCCACGCCGGCCTTCCCGCTCCTGCGGCAGAACGAGCTTCTCCCCACCTCGGGGACCCTCTGTGCTCCATGTCCTCTCCGCCCAGCGCTCCCTGCGAGCCAAGCCCCCGGACCTGCCAGCCCTTCTCAGCTCTCCGGCTTCGTCTTAAATGTCACCACCTCGGGGGAGTTGTTCTGACACAGCACTCACTTCAAAAAAGGCATTAAAATCACTATTTGTGTAAGAACGCAGGGGATCTGTGTTCTCTGCTGGGTATACGCTGCCTGGACAGGCACTGCTGCAGGCCTGGCGCTGAGAACTGAGCCTGGTGCATAGCAAGGGGCTATAAATAGTTGCCGAAAGAATGCGCGAACTTAAGATAGATGAGTCACCCACATGCTCCACGGCTCAGTCGGTGGGGCTTGAACTCCACTGCCAACCACGCTTGGGGACAAGGTGCCTGGAACCCTTCCTCCTGTCCTGGCCGCTCACCACCACCAATGCCTTCACGTACCGCCCCCCTCCGTCTCTCCCAGCATCCTCAAGGACAGGATCAGACAGAGCTGTGTCTATACTTCCAGGGCCGGATTCAGCAAGAAAACCAGAGAGGCAGGGGACGCCCTCTTTCCTCCTGCACCCATACGGCTGCAGGGCAGAGTACACCTCTTGAGGTCCATTCTCACAGCAGGTGCTGCTCACGGTCCCGGAGCCAGCGAGCTGCTCTCCGCACCGAGGCACCCTCTGCCCCCGCCATCGGCCCTGCATTGTACAAGGCACAATTCGTTCATAATTTCTGCTTCGTCACCGGCTTTTCGCCTTCTCTCCCACGCCACGGCTTGCAGGAAGTCAGGGATCTACTACAGGCGCCCAGAGCTCTGCCCATGTGACAGACCGACAGAGATCAGGTCTGTCACTGTTCTTGGAAAGGGCCATCCAACAAGGCACTGGAATGGTCTTGATTAGGGCTCAGGTCAAAAGTAGAAGTTGGATACATGTTCTTCCTCCCAGCCAGGGGCAGGGTGCTCATTTTTAATGCTGTCATTCACGGGGAGAAAACCCAGTGTTTTTATGCTAAAGAATTCGTGAAATGTAACGATCACCTGCAATCAGTTTAAAGAAGCGGCTTCAGGAAAGCTCCCTACTCTGTTTTGTCCTTTCTGTTCTTCTAGACAGCCCTGACAGGGCTGGGAGGCGTGGAGGGCGGCACACACAGGGCTAATGGAAAGGCAATAAATCTCCTGGGGAAGCATCATGCATACACAGAGGATGTGCACGAAGGAAACAACTGCAGCTGAATGCTCAAGATTACATCAAGAACAGCTCTTTGAGAGCCAAGTGGGCTGCTCACATACCTTCAGATCCTGTACAGCACCCACTCAACACAATGGTGGCTAGTACACATTCGATAAGTATTTCTGATTAAATAGGTAACTGGTGAGTGTCCCGGTCTACTGGGAGCCTATTCTATTATTAGCCCAGTCTACGACATTCTAAGAGACGAGCTCCTCGTAAGTAAGAACTGGGTCTTATCCTCTCTTGGACTTTTCAAAGATGACCAACGCTCAGTAAAGGCCAGAGTTGCCTTTCCTCTTACGCAGAAAATGTTATCAGTTAGCTTGTGTGATGATATCCAAAGCCCAATCTTGACAATGTCCCTGTATTTTAAATGCTCAAGTACTCTGATGAGCCTACAAGACTCTTTATACACATCCTGTTACTAACTGTGCCAACCCACAACCCAACGAAGGCTTCTGCCTCCGGCAGTGAGTTCCCACACTCCTCATGCATTGCTTTATGGTTTGCTTCCTTCTTTGGAAGTGTTTTTTTGAATGGGTGATATTTAAAAACAAAAATCTTTGCTATTTTTTATTTCCAGCTGAAAATGTATATCTTCTTTCCTTCTCTCCAATTTTAGTGTCTGTTTAGTAATGGATGTGCAAGGAAGAATAAGAAAACATGAAAGTTCATGTTCCTGTACAGCCAAAGGAGAAGGTGAACGCCAACTGGCCCCATGAGAAAATGGCGCCACCCAATATAAGGACAGAAGGGCTCTGCCTTGTTCCTCCACTCAAGAAGCCAATGGGTGGTCCTAGGAGAGAATGTCTAAGAGAATATGGGCAAAATCCAAGATGCCTATGTATCAGGTGAGGAGCCAAAGGTAGTAACTGACTGGGCCAGAGGTCAAGTTCAAGTGTGGCCTCACAGCTGCATGCCTATGTGCAATGTTTGGGGTCCCTCAGACCTTCACGTAAACTTGACTCGTTTGTGTCCATTAACTGTCCCCACGATTCTTCACCCTCTCACCTTCCTCTTCAAGGTATATAAGATCATTATGAAGTCGGCATTCTCTTCTTCCACATTAATGCTCTGAAACGAGGAACTCACATTCTACCCAGACCCTGGCTCCTTCAAGACATACCCTGGTGGTGACCCAGTGACATGTCCTAAAAGACCTTCTTCTGGAAGCTCAACTTCCAAAAGTGTTGTGATACTTCCAAAAGAAATGCGCTTTACCCTTGAGGCGGGGTCACCCACGGGCTCCCTTCTGGCCATCTCCAGTAGCCCCCAGCCCCACCCCAGTGCCCCCCATACAGCCTCTGCTGGGCTCCCCAGCAAGCCTTACCTGGTCCAACGCCCACTTTGATGATATCCGCACCAGAAAGAATAAGCTCTTCTACCATCTCCCCTGTTACCACGTTCCCGGCCTGAGACAGAGAGAACACAGGCTGCGATCACAATCTAATACAAAGGTGGGTGAATGAAGTGCCCCACACCTGGACACTCAGCTGAGCATGTCTAAAGCCACAACGCAGCCTGGGGCCCAAAAGAGGGGGGTGGGGAAACAATGGACTCAATTCCCGATTCTACATGAAATCTCAAGTCGGTGGGTCAGGGTGTTCCTCTGGTTTTCTTCTCTACTCACTAGGAACACAGACTCTAACACCTGATACCGCACTTGGGTGAGCTGAGAGCAGAAGGCATGCAAGCATATAATTTTAGAACTACAAGAGACCCGAGATGATCAAGGTCAGAGCTTTTGAACATGCCCATGATGGCCAACACAAAACCTTACAGAGAACCCAAATACATACAATAAGCAATGAAATGCTCTTTCAGATGATCATAATGTTCACTGTTGGGAATGATATGTTTCGGACACTAGAAAACCCCTGAAGAACCTTTAAGGGACTCTCAGGGCTCAGGATTAGGAAACCCAGCGATCGTCTCACCGATAGGAAATGCCTGGGTGTCTGCCCACGGCTGGCCCCATCTGGATATGAAAGGGCAGATGAGTTTTGCTGACCACCAGCACCGGAGCACGCTCCGATTTCAGAACACGAGGCTGTGGCCCCAAGAATAAACATGGAAACCAGGACGCGGCGGAAGCTAAAACCCAGAAAGATGCATCTGGTTTGGACATTGGACAAGCTCTTTCACTGCAGGAGCCTGGGAGCACGAAAATAGCCCTTTTCATTACGACTCACTGCCCTGTGGATTCTCCAGCTGGTACACAGGATACTTGGCAAGATGCCTGACTGAATTTTCACAACTGTACAAAGTCTTTTCTGGGAAATGCATCCTTTCTCATGTTACTTTTTTTTTTTTTTTTTTTTTGCTTTGAAGCTCCACTGTCTTTTCAGTGAATTCATTGCTGGGTTGGGGGGGAGTTTTTCTTTTTTTTTTTTAACCCAAACAAAGTGACTTTTAACTCTGTATAAAGTGTCCTGGAAAGGTTAACAAGGAAGGCTCAATGCTCTTTAATCCAACATATGACAATGGAAAATGCTAAATGGTCCAGAAACAGGACCAGAGCACTAAGAATACCGTGTCCCCAAAGCTGGCTTCAGATGGATTCCAGAGATTCCAGAGTTAAATTAAAAGATGTGCCCTCCCGGATTTAGAATGCCTCGAATACCTAGAATAAGCATAAAAGTGAAAGATATACGTGTACATACAAACACACACATTTCATACAATCAACAACACTAAGAGGCAAATAATGTGGCAGAGAAAAATACCTCTGTGCATGACAAAGGGTTAACTAACATTATAAAAGCTCTCCCAAATCTGCCAAAAAAAAAGAAAAAAAAAAGCTAACAACTCACAGAAGAACTGCCAAAGGACATGAACAAACTAAAAAAATAAAGTGGCCAATAAACATAGGGAAAGTGCTCGCCCTCACTAAGAATCCAATTTAAACTCAGATACCAGTGAGGTACTACCTTTCACTTAAATGATCAACGACTACAAACATTAAATACAAAGGAGGAAACAGACACTATCTTTTTCTGCTGGTTTAACGTCTACTTTAGTACAAGTTTTCCTGGAAGGCAACTGTCCATATAGAACAAATGCAAAACTACATACAGCCTTCGATCTAGTAAGTGTACTTCCAAGATCCCTCTCCCAAGGGAATAATCAGACATCAAAGATTTAACTACAAGGATGTATGTTATTTATTTATAACAGTGCAAAACTACAAATCTATTAACCAAAATGGGAATAGTTCAAGAGCCTGGTGTTTTTTCACCTACGTGGTGTTTTTAAGATTGGTTAGATGGCACCAGAAAATGCTTAAGGGGTTTCAGTATAATGTTAGGGGGAAGAGAAGGAAATAGTAAGATCTCAACTTGTAAAAACAAAATCAACAAGGGGCCCCTGGGTGGCTCAGTCAGTTAGGCACTCTTGGTTTCAACTCAGGTCATGATCTCATGGTTCATGGGTTCGAGCCCCCGCACTGGGCTCTGCACAAGCAGCGTGAAGCCTCCTTGGGATTCCCCTTCTACCTCTCTCTCTGCCCCTCCTCTGCTTACTCTCTCTCAAAATAAATTAACTTAAAAAAAAAACTGAAGAAAGAGGGAGGACAGGTGACTTTCCACCTGCAAAAGCCAGCCCATCAAGTTGGAAACCAAGAAAAGTAAAACCAAGGGAAAAAGGAGAAAGGCAAAATCACAAATGAAAATGACCACAGGACATGATCTGGCCGGGAAATGGCCCCCATCCCCGCCCAGGAAGCTGCACATGGGGATGACTTGAATGACGCAGGCATGATGCAGGGGTGTGGAGCCGGCCAGGGTGAAGAGCCAGGATCCAGCCCATCTGGGCCCTCAGCACTGCCTCCGTGGCACAGATAGCATCCGTGGCACACGCTCATTTCCGGGCACTCGTGACAAAGCACAAGCTCTGGGCCCTCCCGGGGTCGGGGCACCAGACCAGGCAGGCCATTTCCACCAGGCACCTCTCTCCTAGGGGAGGCTGAGCATGTCCAGACCCCCACCCATGCTCTGCCAGCACCCAGAGCCCCTCCAGGTCAAAGAGAGGCATGGGGACCCAGGGGAAAGACTATGAAAAGCAACAAGATTAAAAGAGGTCCTCAGGCAAAAACCCAAACCAAGACTGTTTTGCCTCAATTTTTCCAGCTTTCCTTTAGACCCAGAGAGCTAAGGCAGCATGAGTTCAGAAAGGCCTGGGGTGGACTGGCAGCCCCACACGTACCACGTCCCTAAGAGCGGGCTCTGAGTCTCCATTTATCTTGCTCGGAAGTGGGACTAACCACACCCACTTGGTGCTGTCACGATAAGGTTTTCAAAGAAAGTTCTATTCACTTCCTAGACAGAGCCCGGCTCTCAGCTGGTCCTCAGTAAAATGTTAGTCCCTCCACTTAAGAATGGTTTCTGTACTGGGGCGCCTGGGTGGCTCCGTCAGTTGGGCATCCGACTCTTGACTTCAGTTCAGGACATGATCTCCACAGTCATGAGATCCAGCCCTGTGCCGGGCTCTGCACTGACAGCTCGAAGCCTGCTTGGGACTCTCTCTCTCCGCCTCTACTTCGGTCTCTCTCTCTCTCTCTCAAAAATAAATAACATTTAAAAAAAAGAAGAATGCTTCTTGTATACTGCTCCTTTTTAAGACCTCATTGTGGTCAAATACACGTAACATAAAATTTACCGTTTTTTGCTATTTTTAAGTAGACAATTCAGTGGCATCGAATACATTCACACTGTTGAGCAGACATCACCACCATCTGTTCTTACAACTTTTCATCATCCCAGACTGAAGGTCTGTACCTATTAAACAAGGACTTCTTGCATGGGGCTCTGTGCTGACAGCTTGGAGTCTGGAGCCTGCTTCGGATTCTGTGTCTTCCTCTCTCTCTGCTCCTCCCCTGCTCTCTCTCTCTCTCTCTCTCAAAAATAAATAAACATTAAAAAATTTTAAATAAATAAACATCTACCCAGTTTTTACTGGCTCTTCTGAGGCCCTCTGCCAAGAAAAGTCCTTTCTCGAGGAGGATATAAGGCGGGTAGTTTGCAAAGAGCTGCAGGCCAGGTTTGGCCTGTGGGGCCAACTTCCCACAGAAGGTGATGGAATGTTAATGCCAGTACCTTCTCCTGAGCACACACAAGCGTCCCTATACCGACCCACGGACGCAGGAAATAGGAAATGCTATCAAGGCAATAACCATCTTTCAAGGCACATCAAATGGAGTTTGACGCGGGGCTCTCAACAAACATCCCCCGGATCCGAGGCCCATCGTGGGCTCCTGCCACAGTTCCGGAAAGACGGCATTAACAGGAAATACAGGCAACTAGGCCTGAGAGGTTATGGTCTGTCAGCCATGACCACTCCCTTGTACTTCGACAGGCAGGGCTGCCCACAACTGACAATCTGCAGAGAATTCCAAGGAGTGTCTGTCCCTTCGGGAAGAGGGACACGCAGGAGGTGACCATGAGTGCACACAGGTAACTGGTCACTGGCCACACACAGAAACCAGGAGGCCATCCCCATGGCTAACTGGGGTTTGGTCAATAGTGGCTAATGTGGCATTTCCCCAGGGGCACAGAGCTAGGCCTCTAGTCTACTCTGAATGGATCAGGTGCCACAGATCTCCGTCCGCAGGACCACATCAGAGAGTCACCAGCGCAAAAGCATTTTCCAGTGGGCTTGGTGTCCAGCTGCGGTGTGGGATAACCAGAAGACGCAGGACTGGAGGCAGGCTACTTGGCTCTGGGCCCCAGGCCCAGCTCGTACTGGCTGTGCGATCTGCAGAAAGTTCCCTGAGCTCTCTGAGATGGAGTTTCTCATCAATGAGAGTAGGTGCGAGCAACCACGCTCAAAGATCTGATGGCATTCTCAGAGAAGGGTCTCAGCCACGCTCGTGCTGGTTTCTTCAGTACCTGGAGCGCATCCTTCCTCTCTGGAAGCCACCAGGCAAATATGTGGCTTGAGGGCTTACCATGCTGCTTGAACAGCCAGCACTTCCACAGGACCCTTCTCTGCCAAAGTTTCTTAAAGACCCCTGCGTTTGCCCTCCTTACACGTGGCGAGGAAAGCCTGAGGTGAAAGGCGAGGAAAGGGGGTGTGCACGTAAATCCAGAACGCACAGGAAACGGGGCAACAGGTCAGCCCTCGCGCCTCCCGCAGACCCCCAGAGCTCTCAGCCGCTGCCAGGACCACTTCTTTCCATTTTATTAATCTTTACTTATTTATTTTGAGAGAGGGAGAGTGCAAGTCAGGGAGGGGCAGAGATAGAGAGAGAGGGAGAGAGAGAATCCCTAGCAGGCTCCGTGCGGTAAGCGCAGAGCCCAACACGGGACTCGATCTCACCAATTGTCATGACCTGAGCGAAAATCAAGAGTCGGGCACTTAACTGACTGAGCCACCCAGGTGCCCCTAGCAAGGCCATTTCTGAGCATCTCTTCTGTTCACTGCATTGGAACGATCATAAGGACACTCAGCACCCATGTTATATGCCATTCAGTCCAAAACACTGGATAAATGGCAATGTGTCCAAAAGCCGTAAGAGAAATTATACTTCCCCAAACCAAGGGTGTTAAGAGTACTGAAGGTTTCCAAATGAAAGGCAGATTTCAAGGGTGAGTGCAAGCAAAGAACGCCTTAGAAATAACCATCTACCTTGCCAACGTCCCCCGTTCATTGCTGGGGAAACCCAGAGCCAACCAGCAGGCACTAAAGGGGCACAAGCAGGTGGGGGGTGCCCACAGGGCCGTGGGAACTCCGCGCCGATCTCCCCCTCCCAGCCTCATCCCCATAGCAACCCCAGGGCTCTGTACTAGTGACAATGCCCCGTCCCTCGTCTGCATCCCTGAGGGGTGGAGCACGGGCAGGCTCCCTGGGCGCCACAGCGGGCAGCTTGCCTCAGCTCTCGGCAGGGCCAGCCGTGAGCTAAAGCTCACAGCCCACTGTCGGGAGCATAGGATAGAAAGCTCTGGGGCTCCAACTGATTTCTTTTTCTTTTTTTCTTAAATGTTTATTTATTTTTGAGAGAGAGAGAGAGTGACAGAGATAGAGTGCAAGCAGGGAAGGGCAGAGAGAGAGAGAGAGAGAGAGAGGAAACACAGAATTCAAAGGAGGCTCCAGGCTCCAAGCCGTCAGCACAGAGCCCGACATGGAGCTCGAACTCAAGAACCTTGAGATCATGACCTGAGCCGAAGTCGGTCACTTAACCGGCTGAGCCACCCTGGTGCCCGCAACTAATTTCTGCTATCACTTACCGTTTTGAAAGAAGCAGCACATGTTTTCTCTCTTTTTTTAATCTTCTTAAATTTTTTTAATGTTTTATTTATTTCTGAGAGAGAGAGACAGCATGAGCAGAGGAGAGTCAGAGAGAGAGGGAGACACAGAATCTGAAACAGGCTCCAGGCTCTGAGCTGTCAGCACAGAGCCCGACAGGGGGCTCGAACCCACGAACCATGAGATCATGACCTGAGCTGAAGTCAGACGCTTAACCGACTGAGCCACCCGGGCGCCCCTTCTCTGTCTTCTTAAAACAAAAACGAATAACCTTCCCATCCCATCTTTCATTTTCTTCTCCATCAACCTTCCACCTCTGCCTTGATGCTCAGGGCACATGGCCCCAGCGGTCCTCACAACCAGCAAACAACTGTCTGAACACAGCACCGTTCACAACACATCACACCGTGTGGTCCCCACCAGCTGTTATTATCCTCGACCTCCTTTCTGTAGGTGCGGAAAATGAGACTCAATAGGTTACGTGACTTCCCCGGAGTGGCTGAGCTCACACCAACTCCAGGGCACTGAATTAGCGATTCTAAGGGTGTTACAATCAGCGGCAAAGTAGAGCAAGGGGGAGGGGCAAGTGAGACGTGTGGGACACAGAATTACAGAGTCGTTCCGGCAGGAAGCCATACGGCTTCCATAAAACCATGTGGCTGCGTCTCAATATACTACGGAGCAAAGGACGACACAAGAGCTATGCATGCAGGGTTACCGCTTACACAAGGTTCAAAACCAGGCACAATTAAGCAGTGTTAAGAAGAGATCAATAGTAGTGAAGCCAGAGACATGCAAGGAAGGAAGTGATCCCTGGAGTCGGGGATGAGGGTAACCATCTTCGGTGGTAGTAGGGGCTTTTGCGCATAGGTATGCTGGAAGGCTTGCTTATTTATTTATTTTTGAGAGACAGAGCACAAGCTGGGAGGAGCAGAGAGAGAATGTGAGGCAGGCTCCAGGCTCTGAGCCATCAGCACAGAGCCCGAGGTGGGGCTCGAACCCACAAACTGCGAGATCGTGACCTGAGCCAAAGTCGGACGCTCAATGGACTGAGCCACCCAGGTGCCCCTTGCTAGGACTATTTATTAAACCTCCAAGTTCTGAGCACTTTTCTGCAGGCATGTCATGTTTCACAATTTAAGGCAAGGATTACTAAAGAGAAAGAAGTGGGAACCACTGAGTCGCCTCACTAAATCCGAGTCATTTCTCGTGCCTGACCCTTCGGAACTCTCTCTTAACCCCAAAAATGCCAGTGGAGGTAAAGGACAACATCCCAAGTTTATAAGTCACTTCTATCCCCAGTGCGACTGACACACTAGAGGTGATGTGGAAAGATCTGGAAAGACCTAGACCATCCCACCTCAAAGAAGGACAGGCAAGAGCAACCCAGGGAATGCCTTATCTCCTTCTCCACAAGAAATAGACAAAGGTCTCCTCAGTACGTATTCGTCATGCTCTTTCTACTGCCTCCCAGGCAGGGTTTCACAGAATCTACCTTTAATAGTACATACTGTTGAGGGCTACCAGGTCTCAGCACAAGGGCTGGGGCTTCCACTCTCCTGGGAGTCCTGCCTTCCACTCTCTCTTGCGTGAGCAAAAGTTACCACAGATGGCTGGGGGCAGAAGAGCCGCAGGACACCAGATACTAGACACAAAGCCGGCCTCAAGCCCCAGCTTAGCCGCTCCACATTGGTATGACCTTGTGAAGACTCCCAAGGGTAAGAGCAGATCAGAGCCTAAAATCCCTCCTCTGTGATGCATCAGGGACAGCAGTTTCCATCCTTTACAGAGATGTTGTTCAGAAGCGAAAGAACAGATGGGAACCTCCTAAAACCTGGTAGGTATTCAATAAGCAGTATGAGCGTCATGAAAAACCAATGACATCACAGCACTGTTTGGGTGGGGGGACAAAATGAAGTTTCCAGTCTCCCACCCAACTTCTCCTACTGTACAGCTGACTGGCCTTGGGACAACTCTTGATTCTTTCTTCTCCGGTAATTGGGAAGCATAACAATACACACTTAAAAATCCTTGTGAATCCTTAACAGAAGATTTAACTCCACTAATAGAAATAAGTCCTGGGTTCCAACTTCCTTACGCTGATGAGATACGAGGAGAAATAAAATTCAACATTAAAAAAAAAAAAACGGAGGCACAGGTAAATTATCTAGTGGCCACTCTGTAACTGTCATGTTAACTAAGACAGTAAAAACACACATGATTATGACACCGATTTTCCAAAAGCCCAAATTTCCCCCCGAGAGCCTCTGGACCCTTTTTCGGTAAATCCCCCTTTCCTGGGAACCAGAAATACAGTTTCTGAAGATGCTCCTAAGTAGGAAAGGACACAAAAGACAGGCAAAGTCAAGAATAAGGGTCATAGACAATGCAATCCTCCAACTGGCTGGCAGATCATAGTTGACTACTGCAGCTATGGGGCTTTTCAATCACCCTGGGCAAGTTTCCTACTAGCAAATCAGGAGAGGGGTACAAATGGCCTCAACAGGTTTCAACCCAAACCCAGTTTCACTGTTTTCACTTTTTTAATGTTTATTTATTTAGAGAGAGAGAGAGGGAGAGCAGGTGCACACACTCAGACGCACAAGCAAGGGAAAGGCAGAAAGAGAGGGAGAGAGAGAAGCCTAAGCAGGCTCTGCACTCTTAGTGTGGAGCCCGATGTGGGCCTCGAGCTCACAAACCACGAGATAGATCATGGCCCGAGGTAAAATCAAGAGTGGGACGCTTAGCCAACTGAGCCACTCCGGCACCTCTCATTGTTTTCGTTTTTTTTAAAATAAACTCTTTAGTTAAAGAGGGACACAAACCTCTGATCAAGGGGAGCACATGGTAAGAAAGATGATAGCATTTAGCAGAGATAAAGAGCCAACACCCTGTGACGTTGATATGGATTTTATTTTGTACGGAGAGCCAGTCTGCAGATCTACCATCGCCGCTGCCTCTTCATGATGATTCTCCACTTGTCTCAACAAGAAAGCACCAACCCAGCCACACAGCCACACACACACACACACACACACACACACACACACACACACGGAACAAGCCTCTCTCCGCTCCCCCACCTGGAGAGCACTCTGCCATGCTTACCATAATCGTGTGTTCTGGAAATCTGGCACGCACCAGCTTCACAAATTCCACAAAGTGTTCTGAATACCCATTGGCTACGTCCAGGCAGATGAACTTAACCTGTGGCACGGCTTCTAAGATGCCGCTCATCTTTTCCAGATCGCTCTTCCCGCTGCCGGAACTCACAGCTACATGCTGTACCAAAATAAACGGAGAGGCACAAAACGCGAAGAGTAGTTAGCCATCAAAAGTCAGACCCTGCCCCACCCACTCGCTCCACTGAGCCTGATGTGGAGCTCAAACTCATGAACCACGAGATCATGATTTGAGCTGAGATCAGAGTCCGCCCACCCTGCTGAGCCACCCAGGCGCCCCTCCCGTAAATGCATTGTTAATTATTCAGGAAATCCAGTCCTTGGCTTTTCCTTGATTTCTTCAAGCTGTGTGGAACTCAGCCGTGGAGCTGCGTGTGTGAATTCTCCTGTTCTGGGAGATGAGGAGAGGCAGGAAGAACGAGACGCGGCCAGTCAACACAGGCTTCCTCCTGCCAAAGCCGTGGCCATCCTCCTGAGCATCTTGCATAGGAAGCAGGGGGAGGGGAGATGTCTAAAACTCCTCTGATAAAAGTCCTTCCTTTTTCTGTTTTTAAAGTTTATTTATTTTTAGAGGGGGGGCAGAGAGAGGGATAGAGAGAGTATACCAAGCAGGCTCTGTGCTGCCAGTGCAGAGCCCACCGCGGGGCTCGAACTCACAAACCGTGGGATCATGACCTGAGCCAAAGTTGGACATTTAACGGACTGAACCACCCAGTCGCCCCATCCGTCTTACTTTCTTTTTTACTCCCAATACAATAATATCACAACGTGCAAATTGTAACCTACGCAAAGAGCTGCTAGACTCAGGGTTCCTATTGAAATGGGAAAATGTCCCAACAAGCAAAAACCCATGAGCCTAAAATGATCTTTTCCAACTGCACCTGTCCCTGTTCACATCTGGAGCCGCTACACGCTCCTGGGGGACACCCTCTCCCCAACCTCCACAGCACTGATGCTCTCCCGCCCACCCCCTGCTCCTGTGAAAATCTGCTCTTGGTGGGGGGGGGGGGGGGGCGGAGAATGTGTTTTTAATAATTTATGCCTCAGTGCCACTAGGCCATGGGATTGTGCCCTGAGTCGGCATCTCTCCTTTTATAAGAATATTTATATTTTATGTCACTCGTCTAAGCCAGAAGTCGCAGATGGGGGACCTACCTGCATATCCTCCGTGATTGCCCCCAAATCACAACAATGTAGTGACAACCCAGACACCGAGCGTAAACAGCCTGGGCACTTGATACATTTTCTCGTTCTCTGTGTTGGCACCAGTTTTCGCTGCTGCTGACATTCTGACCAGCCGAGACCCTACTGTCCCTCCCACGAGGGCAACACTACCTTTCCCATTTTCCCCTTCGTTGCTGTTCAAGTTTGGCAAGCGGGACTCAAGATCGGTCCATCTCTCTCAGCGTTACCGGGTATTTGACATTTTCCTCTTTTTAATTAGCCTTTAATTTGATGGTGGGGGGCAGGGGCAGAGAAGGAAGCCAAACGATCACAGTGGGTCATGAAGGCCAGGGTGCCAACTTAGAACCCGGGAGTCAGAGGTATGACACACACAAAAAAGAATCATTCCTCTCCGAACTCCTTGCGGAGAAAGGAAGAACGTGGCACAATTATAATTTACTCAAACACAATGCAGGAAAAGCGAAAGACCTGGCAGTAAGCCCAAACTACTGTACCTCCAGAACCACCTTCTCACGAATCAAAATCCACATACAGCACAGCGGAGGGGGGAGACCAGCATAAGCTCAAAAGCAGTACCGCATGAAGCCACTTCCCAGCCACACATGATCTGATCACAGAGGAGAGCGTCTCCAATGCAAAGAAATTTCTCTGCTGGCACTGGCCCAGGATGCCAGGTGGCAAGCCAGGTGTGTTACATAATAATAGGGATTTTTCTTCTTTCCAAACTGCCTTTTTTTTTTTTAATAACAGCTTTATTGAGATATAATTACATACCTCACAGCTCACCCAGTCAGAGAGCACAGGCGAAGAGTGTTTGGTGTATTCAGAGTCATGTATCCGCCATCACAATTTTAAAACATGTGTCCCCCCCAAAATGGCAGTCACTCCCACGCACGTTAGCCCTCAGCCTCGAATCTCCCCCTTGCCCCATCAGCCTTAGGCAACCACCAAAATCTACTTTGTCCCCCTAGGTTGGCCTGGTTTGCCATTTCGTGTAAACAGACACAGATTTTCATGTCTGGCTTTTTCACTCAGCAGAATGTTTTCAAGGTTCATCCGTGTTGTGGCATATGAGTGAGGACTCCACTCCTTTTGACAGATGAATAAATAGTCCATGGTATGGACGTAACAGGTTTTGTGTATTCATGCATCAGTTCACGGACACTTGGGTGATTTCCACCTCTAGGCTCTTACGAATAACGCCGCTACAAACACCTGGGTCCAGGCTTCCGTGTGGCCACAGGTTTTTCTATCTGTGAGGTCTCTACCTAGAAACAGAATTGCTGGGTCACATGGTAACTCGGATGTCTAACCTTCTGAGCAACTGCCAAACCAATTTCCAAAGCAACCGCCCCAGTCTACATTCCCATCAGCAAGGCGGGAGGGTTCCACTTTCCTCACATCCACGCCAACTCTCATTAGTATCTGTCTGTTTGATTACAGCCATCCTCACAGGCATATTGTTTATTCCACTCCAAAACAACTTGTTATAATTAGATGTTTTCCCTCCAGCCAGAAGGACTGCTCAGACCGGACGGGCCCCTGCCACAGGCTCTCATGACATAACACGTAACGTTTCGTGGGCAAAACAAATGAACAGATATTCCTGTTAGGGGCAGCCTAACGTTTTCCAAACAGGCTACGGGCAGATTTTCTTGGCAAGTTCCTGACAAGGATGAAGGGCAGGGGCGCGCTACTTACCGCCTTTCCCCAGCTCTCTCTAAGGACTCCGCATGTCTGTCTGCTGCTTGATTCCAATCCCTTTGACTACCCTGAGGTCCGTCTCACCCCCCTCCCCACCCGCACAAGCAATGTCATTTATAACCAGAGTGTAGTCTTACCGGCAGACACTCGGGGTGATTAGCAGCAAACAGCTTCCATTCATCCAGGGTGTAGTGCTTATGAATCGCTGTGAACATGGAGTGCTAGGGAACAAAACAGCACGGTCAGCTCCAGAAGTCACTCAAGCCACCTCTCCTGCCTCCTGGTGGCAGGGGTGACCCCCCAACACAAAAGCATTAGGCGCTCCTGATGTTCACGCTTAATGTGCTTCAAATATGCGAAGAGCCAAAAAACAGACAAGGTGTAACCGAGTGAAATCACAAAACCATGTTTTCCATTCTGATCCGATCAGACAACACTGCCTTCCGGACTCAGGAGGCCCTGCCCGGAGGCTGGGAGGGAGGGAGAAGGAGAGTTCTCAGGGCCCTATCCAGGCCCACCGCCTGAGTCCGGCACAGAGAAGGGGACAGCAAGGGCCTTAGCCTAAAGGCTGCCGGAGGGCCACCTGCTGCTTAGCCAACCCAAAAGAACCTCAACTTACACCTGAAAGCTTTTCTTTGTGTTCACGATCTAAACATGGCTTGCTAAAAAAGCTAAACTCAACAGGCAGTTGGTATTTTTGAGCGAGGGCGGGAGGGAGGGAATTCTACAATGTATAATCCCAAATCTAGGGACTTTCAACCAATCTGACATCGACACTTCGCACAGAAGCACTCTGCACGCCACTTCACGTCATTTGCCTCTTTGAACAACCTCATACGGTAATACTGGCTTTGCGGACAGAAAGGGGGCTTAAGAAATTTAACCGCTGGTTGGCCAAATGGGGGCAAAGGCCAGAATCAAACTCCCTATCGGACTGCAGAGCTCAGGTTCCTTCTCCCCCATCAAGATCCTTTCCTCGGGGCACCTGGGTGGCTCAGTTGGTTAGGCGTCCGACTTCGGGTCAGGTCATGATCCTACAGTCTGTGGGTTCGAGCCCCACGTCGAGCTCTGTGCTGACAGCTCAGAGCCTGGAGCCTGCTTCAGATTCTGTCTCCCTCTCTCTCTGACCCTCCCCCACTCGCTTTCGTCTCTGTCTCTCAAAATAAAGACTTAAAAAAAAAAAAGATCCTTTCCTCACTCCCCTGGGTTTATTTCCCCCTCTATGATTTCCCATTCTAAAATTCCGTGGCTTTATTAACTCACACTATCTCAGTGGATTCTAGAAACAGAAAGTTCATGGTACCCACACACGGTTTCAATGTACGCTGCTTCGCTGTATTCGCAGCATACACGGTCTCAATAATGGCGAGTTCTTCCTGCGAAAACGGGCAGGGCACAGCAGGCTCTATGGTTTTCATGGACTAGTGATCTGATATGTGAATTAATCAGGATTACTTATTCTCCCTGATCCCACCCACTTTTATACTAATACATAATTCATAAGCAGCAATGGCTGATCACAGAGCAGAGCAAGGAAAAGACAAGGGGGGAAAAAAACCACCAATTTCTTTAGCAATTAATTCACTAGCCTCCGGGTCGAAGCTCGGTGGGGGCTGAATACAACTGATCGTGGAGTCAGACAGACCACCCCTACTCCACTTTTTGAATTCATAATTTGTTTGAAAATCTTCCTTCTAATCACTGGCTAATAATGAATCCTAACACCTCCTGAGGTTTGACTTGCTGCCCACAGCGAGAAGCTCTTTCAACTAATTGGATTTATCTTTTCCCTTGGCAGGCATTATCAATGGGGATAGACACACACACTCTGCACAACAGAAGCAAACATTTCACATGTTGGATGAATAAGGTGTGTCGCAGCTCGGACAGAGCCGTGTGGGACAAAGGTCCTGCCCACATATGGTTTTTCCTTTATTTCTCCTAAGGCCAGGGAATTCGCTATCCCTTTATAGGAAATGACACCGGTTAACTGGCTAAAAGGGACCCTGAGCTTCTATTGTTATCTGTCCTTTTGAGTTGGGAGGCAAATCCCTTATTCCAGAGTCCGTCTGGGTTTGAATCTTGGCTCTGTCTGTCTCTACCCGACTGAAAGCCCGGAGTCAAGTGACCTCTCCTCTTCCTCTCTGCCTCAGTGTCCTCATCAGGAAAAAGGAACCCACCTGGAGGGGCCATAACAACTGGCTGGCACATAAGTGCTCCGTAAATGTTTTTGTACAGAATTAGGTAATAAATGCTATCCCCCAGGCTGCATACAAAGGCAGGTCTGCTTTAATTTATTTTATTTTTTTTTTAATATTTATTTTTGTGAGAGCACAAGCTGGGGAGGGGCGGAGAGAGAGGGGACAGGGGATCCGAAGCAGGCTTGCATTGACAGGCTGACCACAGCAGCGAGCCAGACGCGGGGCTTGAACTCGGGAACTGTGAGATCATGACCTGAGCCGAAGTCAGACGTTCAGCCAACTGAGCCACCCAGGCGCCCCCCGCCTCAATTTTAAAGGAAAGGTCACTCTTCTATAATATGACACTAGCCTAACTTGATAATATCTCTAGTTTCTAAAACCACCATGAGCATTTCCAAGGAAGAAACGGGTGCAGACCTAAACCATCTCCTTGAATGTCAAGTCCAGACTCTGTCCATCTTCTGACTGAAAAGAAAGGAAAGGAAGTACCTCCCAGCAGCCATCAGACTCAGAACCGAATAGTTCGGCCACAGTGAATGGCCCGAAATGTCTCAGTTTTCTCCTCTTCTTTGTGTCCGAGCAAGTCCAGGATGGGCTCCTGACCACCTGCCCAGGATGAGCAGCAGAGGGAAGAAAGCCCGCCATCCTACCTGTGACATCACCGCTGCCATCTCGAATGTCCCCACGGTGTCCATGTTGGCCACAATGATGGGGATCCCTGAGTAGGTCTGCTTCGAGTTCCGAAATGTGAACGTTCGCTCAAGATCCACCTAATTGGCGAAAAGGGAAAAGGAACAATTTGCTCTTTAAGTGTCTTGTGAAGAATTTCCAGAGTTTGGAAGCAAGGGCGTAGAACAAAAAGCAAGTGCATGTCCCTCGGTCCCTTGGTCTCCTAGGGGCTGTGCCACATGTTCCCAAACCAGGAGAGTCCTGAGGAGTCAAACCAACCAGGCGGCCGTCCAGGGACAAAGCCGATGCAGCACAAGGCACTGGGGGTCTGTCACCAAACCAATCCTCGGAGTCGGAAGCTCTTCTCCTTCAGCTCTGCTCCCAAGCCACTGTCTGCCGCCTTCTGTCCCCCTTCTGTCCCCAGCCCGATCCATCTTGGCCCTAAACACCCGCGTGCATGCTGTCTTTTCCCACCTGCAGGCGCCGGAGGGACCTTTCCCCTTCTGGGAAAATCAGCTCCATCCACGCTTCCCTGCCAGGCATGACTTTCCCTTTAAGTCTTCCCCACGGAGAGAAGCAGACACTCCAAACTGCAAACCAGAATCCCTTAACCCGTCCACCTGCGGGCTGCTCTGTAATTGTGAGCATCCTTCAAAGAGCTGCAAGGAAGTACAGGGAGCAGGTGTTTGACATGCAAATGGTGGGGGGAGGGCCCTCCGATTCTCCTGTCTCTCCAGCTGCAGGGCCCTGGCTGTGAAGCCAGCTGTCGGGAACCCAGGAGAGCTAAGCCTTGACGGGGGGGCGAAGCAAAAGTCGTGTGCTGGGGCCAGGCAGGCGCCAAGAGCTAGCCGACTCCGAACCACGTCTCTGACCCACGCAGATGCAAGGCCTGCCTGCTGGCGGGTCCATCCTTCAGCCTTTTCCTGCCCCTCCTACCACAGGAAGGCCGCCCCCTGCAGGCTGCAGTGCCTGGTTTCTGGCCCGGTGCAGCCAGTGCAGAAACTGAGTGGGAGCGCGCACGATGGTGCGGGACTTGGAGGAGGGCCTGTGTCACAAGGCCTCTGGCTGGGCCTGCACGGCCTCGGGTCCCGCTTTCGGGGAGTGACCTCCTCCCCTCTGGAAGCCCCTTTTCACTGCTGCCCAGCTCTGGGGCGCCTCGACATCTCATGAGGCGTCTCAGCTGAGTTCGGAGATCTTGCCTTACACTTCCTGTTCTGCATATTCAGCATGGTTTGTTTCCCGGGCTGGACCTCGAGGGACCTGCGATCATCCTGAAAGTGGGTGCCTCCCCCAGGAGAACCGGCAGGAGACCCACAGGTGTGGCTCTTTGGTCTCTGAAATAATTCCAGCCGACATTAATCCTGCGTGGACCAGCAGTAACATATACTTATATGAATGTATCTGCATAGATCAGCAGCAATCATTCCCTACCGTGGTTTATCTAGTTCCTTCTCTTACCCCTTTTCATTTGAAGTTTGTTTTAAGTTTATTCATTTATTGAGAGAGAGAGAGAGAGAAGTGGGAGAGAAGCAGAGAGGAAGGGAGAGAGAGAATCCCAAGCAGGCTCCACGCTGTCAGCACAGAGCTGGACACGGGGCTCTCGAACTCACAAACCATGAGATCATGACCTAAGCTGAAACCAAGGGTCTGATGCTTCACCCGCGGAACCCCCAGGTGCCCCAAGGCAACCTTCATTTTGCGATCAACGTGTCAAAAAACACCACGGGACACCTCGGTTAGCCTTTCTTGCTTGCTCTCTACAAGGCTCCCAGAAGGCTTCCTGGGTGAATGGTGTCCTAGGCACGTCCGCACTGGCCCCAAACAGCAGGGCTGGGGGGAAATGAGACGCAGGAACTCCCTGAGCAGGTGCGGCAGCTCGTCTCTTTCCCTATTTCCTTCATCATGATCCTTGGCTCAACTTCAGTGAAGAAAGCTAGGTCCACATTCTGAGTGGTAACTGAAGGGGTCTATTAACTGCAACCCTCTGTGCTAATGGCACTCTACCATTCCGGCTTGGCAGGCTTAACATAGTCAGAATTCCTTGGTCTCAAATTACTCATGCTCCTCCCAAGACTGATGGGGAGAGCAGCTACAGGGGAGGCCAGCTGAGTTCACAATGGGTTTTTTTCTGGGCACCCCAAGGCCTAATATTAGCGGTATGGAAAAAATAGAGTTCTCCCTGGAAAAAGGTCAGCCTTGACAGTGAACTCCTGCCCTTATTCCTCGTCTTCCTATGGTAGATTGCGCACAATCCTTAATTCTGAGAATGAGAAATAACATTATCTTCCCCAAGTAAAAATAAACTATTGAGAGTACATGAAAATAAAAGCCTCTGCTGAGCGAAGGAAAACAATCAACAAAACGAAAAGGCAACTTAGGGAATGGAAGAAGATATTTGCAAGTGACATATTCGATAAAGGGTTAGTATCCAAAATATATCAAGGACTCATACAACCCAATACCCATAAAAAGAAGAATCCTATTAAAAATGGGCAGAGAACCTGAATAGACATTTTCCTAATGGCAGACGGCCAAGAGACACTCATCATCACTCATTATCAGGGAAACACAAATCAAAACTACAGAAAAATGCAAATCAAAACTACAATGAGATATTACCTCACATCTGTTGGAAGGGCTCAAATAAAAAAGACAAAAAACAACAGGTGTTGGTGAGGATGTGGAGGAAAAGGAACCCTCCCGCGCTGTTGGGGGTAATGCAAACTCATGCAGCCACTCGGGAAAACAGTGACGAGGTTCCTCAAAAAGTTAAAAATAGAGCTACCCTAAGATCCAGCAATTGCACTACCGGGTATTTACCCAAAAAATACAAAAACACTAAGTCAAAGGGATACATGCACTGTAATGTTTATAACAGCGGTATTTACAGTGGCCAAACTATGGAAACAGCCAAACTATCCATCAGCTGATGAATGGATACAGAAGATGTGGTATATAGACACAATGGAATATTATTCAGCCATGTAAAAGAATGAAATCTTGCCATTTGCAACAACATGGATGGAGCTAGGGAGTATTATGCTGGGTGAAGTAAGACAGTAAGAAAGAGAAAGACAAATACCATACACTTTCACTCATATGTGGAATTTAAGAAACAAAACAAATAAACAAAGGCAAAGTGGGGGGGGAGTGGAGAGAGAAACCAAGAAAGAGACTTAACTGTAGAGAACAAACTGATGGTTACCAGAGGGGAGGTAGGAGGGGGGATGGGTTACATAGGTGATGGGGATTAAGGAGGGCACTTGCTGTGATGAGCCCTGGGTGACATATGGAAGTGTTGAATTACCATATTGAACACTTGAAACTAACATTAATTATACTCTATGTTAACTATACTAGAATTAAAATTTTTTCAGTAAAAATAAATTTTTAAAAAAAGCTTTTGATTATCTTCCCCAATCTTACCCACACAAACAAAAAGACACACACACACACACACACACACACACACACACACACAAAAATACACCTGTTGTTCACTAAGAGAAATAGATATTTTAAATACTCTAGCCTCCTGGCACCTCCAAATCCCCACTCTGATTTGCCTGATTTGCAAGCAACATAAAGTAATGAACTATCCCTCCTCTACCTCCAAACTACATGTTTCTCCTGCCCTTTAAACACAACCTCATTAAAGTCAGTCCTACAGCCCAACATTTGGGGACGAAAAGCACAAAGGGAGGCCCACCGACCACATTTCTAAATATCTCAACGTTATGGTCAAGTTGACGGGCTTCTACCTAAGTATAAGCCTTCTACACGGGGTCCGATCCTTCCACCTTGACAAACATTAGTGACCTGGAAAGTGCCAGGACATATAGTGTCATGGGGAGCCAGCCCCTGGCCTCCAGTCCACACCCTCTTCCCGTCCCACCCAAATCTTGATGTACACACACAGACCCCCCCGGTCTGCACATGAAGCTCCGTGCACACACACATCCATTGTCACACACAGCTGCCACTTGGCCTCTCTCTTGAGGGAGAAGGTGAGCACACCTGCTTCGCGCCAGGTCCTTGGGAAAACACATCCTGGGAAAGGGCCCTTCCTGCAAGCCTTGGAATTAGCCTGCAGCCCTTTGGGCAAGGAATTCCAGGATTCCGAGTCCCTGGAACATGGCCTCCATGAAAAGGCATGACGCTGTGGCCCTGTCCAGTGAGGAGGGGGCAGAGAAGCAGAGGTAGGGTGTGGGGCAGGGGCCTCTTGCCCAGATCTATAGGCAATTGTCTCATGAAATAAGTGTATCCATAACCCGTCTCACCTAGAAATGGTAAGTCGACAGAGACAATCCCTCTTATCTATATAGTTCTAGTGAGTGGCTCAAAAATGTGGAATAAATTAATGATGTTGTGCCTTGGCCCCTCCCCCCAGCCTTTCTCAGGGCAATGCTTGGCGGGCCCCAGCCCAGCTCTGTGGGATGTGTTCCATCCCTTGCAGGACTGCGAGAAGCCTGTGCAGCTATATATCAACAGAGAGCCGTGGGGTTCTCCAAATGGGAAAGTCCCCCATGGCTAGCCCAGCATTCTCTGTGTGCACATGAGCATCAGCCCAGGAGGGCTTCCAAAATGCATACGCCCAAGCCACTCCACACTTAGTGAGAACCTTTGTGCCAGAGACAGTGTGTGTCGTTTGGAGTGTGTCCCGAGGTGATTCTGAAGCAGCCGTTAACGATTCTATTCGCACCCTCTAATTTTACAGAGCAAAATTTGAGAGAGGCTGCTACGGTTTGAGCTGCGTCTCCCGAAAAGATAAAAGATGATCTGTAATAAGGTCTTGGCCGACGATCAAGGGAAGATGAGGTCAGTAGGGCAGAGCCGCATCCCAACAGGACTGATGTTCTCAAAATGGGAAAAGCTGGACACAGACGCGCAGAAGGGGAGTCCATGCTGCAGAGGTGAAGGCAGAGATGGGAAGGACGCCTCTCCACGCCAAGGAGCACCAAGATTGTGTGCAAACAACCAGAAAACAGGAGAGAGAAATGTAACAGACCCCCCTTCACAGCACTCAGAAGGATCCTGGACATTTGGTCCTATGGACATTTTGATCCTATGGACATTTTGATCCTATGGACATTTTGATCTGAGGCTCCTAGCTTCCCGGGCTGGGAGACAATCAATTTCTAATGCGTAAGCCACATACTTCAATGGTCTTTTGCTACAGCTGCTCTGGGAAACAAACATAGAGCCAAGGTACTGAAGTACACAGCAATGCCCACAGCCCTCAACTAAAATTCAGGTCAGCTTGCTCCCAGCCAGTCTCTCCACTGCCATGCTCTGATTCCCTGTGGGCCAACGTGCTGTGGCCCCCCGAGGCTTGACCAGACCCTCCTGGATCGGGTCTGCCTCTCCCTGGACCATGGATGGAATGAATCACTAGTGAGTTTTAAGAGAAGACTGGATTCTCTACTGCAAATTTCTTCATGGCCTGACTTCCAAAGTCATGGCTGTGTCAGTACCTTCGTTTTTGTTTTTTTTAATCTTATCCTCGCTTAAGGGCTCAGGTGGGACATCAGAGCCAGGAATGGGTCTTCGGGAAGAAGAACTGCTCTCGGAGTCAAGGGATGTCAGGACGTCCCCAGTGCATCAAATAAAGGCAAAGTTCATGCCTACATGTGACTTCCTTTGAAGGGATTACCCAAATGCCCCCCGAGTAGCCCTGTGGGACTTTATTCTCGTGTACCAAGGGCTCGTGAAGACATGAATAAATGCAAAGAGGGGACAGTTGAGAGATGACTGCCTGTCTGGCGTAATCACGGGAAGGCCCCCTGGGCCACCTCCACTTGGACCGTTTGCCTCTGGGAGCCGACCTCAAATCCATTTTATGTTACATTTGCGGAAATGACCTTACAGGAATACTAGAATGTCTAAGTGGGCGATCACTTGTCTTTCTCTCCATTTTCTGCTCACTGCCTGATATCCATCACCGGGCCTGGCTCTTAGCAAAAAACCGTTGCCTTGATAAATCTTGTCAGGAGTCAAAACTCCCATCCCAGCCAGCCTCTGCTCTCGGGTTAGGCTCAAAGACCGTCATTGACCGCTTTCAAATTTGTTTCAAATTTGCCTGCAAGAGGGGCACGCCATATCTGACGGCACAATGAGAAGTTTTTAACTCCCTGTAAGAAATTTCAGGCATCCACAAGCAAACTGAGAAAACACTGAGAGGGAATTAGAAGCCTACTTAGATCTAGGGCTAACTAGACGCCTCAACGTCAACTAACGCAGGCAGATTATGGGGCGCAGCCAGCCAGGCGCCTACACGATTAGGGGAACCAACTGGAAAGGCAATTCCAGTTAACTTAGGTGTCCGTGCCCAGAGCTGGCAAACTCCCACAGAAACGGACCTGTGAAAACATTTCCCAAGGGCACAGTGTTCTCACTGCAATGTGGACATGTAGATTGCAAGGTGTCCCTGGAAACCGGGACATTAAATGGTTTCCATCAGCTCAAAGTATGAAACCAACCGATGCAGGACATTCTACTCTTCTCTGGAAAAGAGTAATTCATCCTATTACATCAATTCTAAACGTTCTACCTTCTGGAGGTGTTTCCTGGCTCAGAAGACACGCATCAGAGAACCTTGTTTTAAATATACATTTTGCCTGATAATAAGTTTCTCTCTCCTGAGTGAATTCTGGACAAATCGTCAAAGAACGTTGAGGCCACCGCTTTCTCTGTCTGCCCGGATTCGCCACCTCCTGTGTCTCGTTCTGGCCTTAGTTGTTGGCTACCTGTCACCCAAACTATTTGCGTCTCTTTCAAAAGTCGGCCGGGCTCTTTCAGCACTTTTAAGGACATGTTGAGGGACAGGAAGAGGGTGGTCCCATCTGGGATGATAAGGGCTATAACCAATCCTGGCTTCTTGCAGTCCCATCCAGTCCCACCTCTCTGGGGTCCAGCTGCCAACCCTCCTGCTTGAAAAGGTGACTCTGGTCACTGGCTAAACCAGGCCACTTCCTTAATCCAAACAAGCCCTCGGCTGGCAACAGCGGGCACTACAGTTAGGCCTGGGCGCGGGCACCGGCAGGCGGCCGAGTTCGAGCGAGAGGATTTATTTATGGTCTTGTGGAGGGGAGCGTTTGGAAGAATGTTCTGGCTCTGCCTCCTCCTGTTTACTCCTGCTGCGGCCCCCACCTCCTGATGGAGTCACTTCCTCACCTCCGTCTCCAGCTCTCAGGAGACCAGGCAAAGCCAAGGTCCCCAGCACACCCTCCGCGCGGGGACTCTTCCCGTGCAATTAGTTTATCCTTCAGGCTGTGACCTTTCCCAGCGCCAGCTGAGGCACTCTCACTTGGGGCCCTGTCCAATCTTTGATCTCGGCGACACAGAACCAGCGAAACTGCCCAGGGTGCCCAACTGGCCTCTCACCCCCACGCCTGTGCCCCGGTGTCTTCTGCTTCCCTAGGACGGGGCCGGACTGCGGCTGTCCGGTAAGTAAAGTGTCACCGGGCAGCAGCACCGCTCCCAGCAAGGTCACCGAAACGTGGAAAGTAAACCCTGAACTTCTGCTGCCCTGGAATCTGCCCGGTTTTCAGACATTTTTTTTAAAACATTCCATGGCTGGGGCGGATACTAACGCAGCAGTCGGTTCTCCGCACTGAGAGGCAGTGCCAAAATCACAAAGCTCGTCGCTGTCGTCCTCTGCTGTACACTGGGGCTCCACTCTGTCGCTTCGGCCCTATGCGCACGGCTCCGACCGCCCTCCCCTTCTTTCTAAGCTGGCCGCGTATCTTTGTTCCCCTGTGGTCCGGTCCCCTGTGTACTTCCCCAGCCCACTCGGCCGACGTCTGGAGAAGCCGACGCCGGAGCTGGGTCCCTTAAAGACACCTCCAGTCCCGCCCGGGAACCGGCCGGCTTTCCCCCCTCTCGGCGGATGCGGAGGGCGGGGGGCTCAGCATCCCGTCCGTCAACACGCACCCCGAGAAGCCGGCTGGGTTAGTGCACCCCCCTCCCTCCACCGCCCTCCCGCACCCCGGCTACCCGGAAAACAAATCCCACCCTCACTGCGGCTTTCGAAGGGGCCCACCTCGGCTCGGCTCCTGAGACTGCTTCGCTTGGGTCGGAGCAGGACATCCTTAAAGTCCAGCTTGAGGTCTGCATCTATGCGGGGCATGGTGCAGATCGGCGCGCGGAGGCGAGCCCGGCTACACCGCGCGGCTCTTCCCTGCGGCTCTCGCGCCGGGCCGTGGGGGGGGGGGGGGGCGGCCCGGGCGTGGGGGGCGTGAGGCGGGGATGCGGGGGCGGGGCGAGAGGCGGAGCGGGGCCGGGCGAGCGGTGGGGGAGTGGGCGGGGCGGAGGGAAATAAAGGGCGGGGCGGAGCTTTCGGGGGCGGGGCGAGAGGCGGAGCGGGGCCGGACGAGCGGTGGGAGAGTGGGCGGGGCGGAGGGAAATAAAGGGCGGGGCGGGGCTTTCGGGGGCGGGGCGAGAGGCGGGGCGTGGGCGGGGCGAGATGTGGGGCGGGGCGTGCGGGGGCGGTGCCGCCCCCGTGTGGCTGCTAGCTCGCCAGGAGGCGCGCACCTTGCGCCCTAAGGCCTAGGGAAGTGGCAGTCGCGCTCGTCCCGCCCTCGCGCTCCCTGCGTCCGCCCCCCCTCCGGCTCTGGGCAGTGGTGCGGAGGAGGAAGGGGGACGGCGGGGTAGGGACTGACCAGTGCCTCACAAGTTGGCCAGCGTGACGTTTTTAACAAATCTTCCTCGCTCCCGCTTACAGACTTGTTCCTTGCGGTGATCGAATTGGCGGGGGTCGGTCGGGAAGGGCGGGGGAATGCCGATCGTCCCGTGGGTCACCGAGGCCCCCTCCCCCCTCCCCCCCAGAGGGAGGAGACGTGGCCTGTGACCGCTTCACTTGAGGGAAAACGCCACTCCCTGGGAGGTTTCGCTTCTTTCTCCAATTTCAAGCCCGGTGTTGCCATCAAGTGCTGACTCAGACCTCTGGCATGCCAAAGAGTGAGTCCTGGGGAAGTTGGTTAGAACTGAGGAGAAGATGGTGGGCAGGTCAATCTATTTGGCAACACCCGGAATGAAGCCGTTTTTGTATCCCCTTTGGATTTCAGGGGTATGTTTGTTATAGTCAGAGCAGATGCTGGACTTTGAGGGACCTGACTCCCCTCTGAGGGCTGCCTCTCATGTCAGGTTATTTTTAATTCACTTGTTGACTTGACTGTGGGGAGCCTTTATTATGCATTGCTGATGTGCTTAAATGCTAGGGCTGCACCTTCTGAGTCACTAGGGAGGATCACATTGACTTGCCCATGGTTGCCTTAAAGTTAAATATAAATCGCTCAGTCCTTATAACTTACTGCAATCTTAACTAAGGCTGCTTTTGCCCTGAGACCTTGCTCGGCCTGGGGGGTGGGGGTAAAAACCTGACCCCCCACTGCTTGCTAGCTGCCAGAACTTGGGGAGTCATTTATTTCTTTAAACCTCAGTTTTTTAATAGGTTAAAAGAGAAAGAAGACATTTGGTGTTGTCATCTCCGACTTTTGTGAGAATAAAGTGTGGGGGGGGGGCATGTATTTGCACACACAGGACACACACACACACAGTTTATGTACCCTGAATTATTGAATCCCTATATTGTACACCTGAAGCTATAATGTAACGCTGCCTGTTAACTAACTGGAATCAAAATAAAAACTTCAAAAAAAATAAATCAAGTGTGATTACACAGGCAAAAAGAAATGTATGTCGCCTAGTGGCTCAGTAAACGGGAGCTATTTAAGGTTACCTGTTACATTATGTGCCTTCTGCTGTCTAGACTCTAAGTAGATTGCTAACTGCACAAGGCGGGAATCATCTTTCACTTTCTTGCAATTGTCTGCAGCCTCCTTCTGTTCGCAGTGAACTCATGTTTGGTGTGGCTGACCGGAAAGATACATCCCAGCATTCATTTAGCACAAATGTCTGCAAACTACAAAGGCCTTCACCAATCCCACTTGCTCTTGCTCTCTTTGCCCCATGGGAAGTTTTTGAAGTTTCAGGGAAGGAAATGAAAGTTATCAGGGAGAGAATGAAAGTAACCATAATTGGTTGGGCCAACGAAATTTTTATGGCCCTTGTCAAACCGCTGAGAGCCAGGCAGATGGGCTACTTATTCCAAAATAGTAAAAAGGAACCTAATCTAAGAACCCAATCTGGGGGCACCTGGGTGACTTTGTCAGTTAACCGTCCCACTCAAGCTCAGCTCAGGTCATGATCTCAGTTTGTGAGTTTAAGCCCTGGGTCGGAGTCTGCTCTGTGTCAGCATGGATCCTGCTTGGAATTTTCTCCCTTTCTCTCTGCCTTTCCTCTCTCTCTCTCTCTCTCTCTCTCTCAAAAGAAGTAAATAAACTTAAAAAATAAAATAATAAAAAAGCCTCATCTGATCATGAGTTTCAAATTAAAAACCAAAATAAGGGGTGCTTGACTGACTCAGTTGGAGAGCATATGACTTTTTTTTCTTTTTTTAGTATATGTGCTGCTGAAGCGAGCACGAGCATGTGACTCAATCTCAGGATTGTGAGTTCAAGCCCTGTGTTGGTGTAGAGGTTACTTAAAAATCTTAAAAAAGTAAAAAAATAAAATAAATCAATACCAAAATAAAATATAATTACTGTATAGTATGGTTATTTAAAATCATTCTCCCAGGGTGCCTGGGCAGCTCAGTCGGTTAAGCGTGGATTTTGGCTCAGGTTGTGATCTCATGGTTCGTGGGTTCGAGCCCCAGGTTGGGCTCTGTGCTGTCAGCTCAGAGCCTGGAGTCTGCTGCGGATTCTGTGTCTCCCTCTCTCTTTGCTCCTCCCCTGTTCACGCTCTGTCTCTCTCTGTCTCTGAACAATAAATAAACGTTAAAAAAATTTAGACATAATCTAAAAATAGAAAAATAAAATTGTCCTCCCAAAAGCAAACAAACAAACAAAAAACCGAAAACCCTAACTTTGTTAAGCATCTGCTCCCCGAGCACAGTATAGAGGTATGTGGAGGCTTTATATTTGTTGTTACCTACATTGTCTTAAGGGAAAAGCATCCTTACCTTGAGCTTCTTCCTTTTCCCCTGGGGATAGTACTTCTCCTCGCAGCTGCTTGCCCACTCTCTTTCTCTTAGAACAGGGGCAGAAGCTCACTTTACACAGTCCATTCCCTCTCCTGGAATGTTCCATCATACCTGCTTTCTTCTCAGGCACAAAATCTTATTCCTGTAGAGTCAGTGTGACTCCTTGAAACTTCTCCACCAACCTAGACTTCTTAAAAGGTCCATTGCACCTTCTACATAATCCTGCGGTGCATTTCATCTCACTAATAATAACAAAAGTCACCTGTCAGTACAAAGACTTCAAGTAAAGGTTCTAACTCATTAGACAGAAAAATTCATAAGAGATATTCAGAATCCAATCTAACATTCTATTTTCTAAGGGTAGAATGGTACCAAAAAATTAACATGAGAAGACAGCCTCCAAAATTATGTAAAATACAGCCCACGATATTTCTTTATTGACTAATTTAGTTTGCTAATGTTTTGCTAGGGATTTTTGGATATAAATTCATGAAGGACATTAGCCTGTAGTTTTTCTTTCTATTAATGTCTTTATCAGGGGCCTCATAGAATGAACTAGCAAATGTTCCTCACTCTAATTTCTGATTGCAATTAGTTCTTTAAATACTTAATGGAATTAACCAGTGAACTAAAATTATGTTAGATGATTTAGTTTACCAAGTAAACTAAAGTTCAGACTAAGTTTGATTTACTAAGCATTTCTCAAAATTCAAAAATCATTAAAATTAAGTATGAAAAAGTTGGAGAAAATTCAAAATTATGGTATTTAATATTATAGGGGTAAGAAGGAATTTGGGCATATTTTGTGTATCTGAGAAAATCCATACCATTGGATTAACAGAAGAGCCAATCCAAAATGTATAGGTGAGTAACTGATTTGCACTTGAGTTGAAAGCAAAATGTATTAAATTTATGTCAACTGGTGGAACATGTAAGAGAACATGAGTTTTACATACCATATTTTTATAACTTGTTAAATTACTTTGGAAAGCTCAGCCAGCCAGAGAGTTTCCTGCTTTACCACGCACAATAATTGATGGCGACCTTGTGAAATGCACATTATGTCTCAGAGGTCTGCGTGGGATTTTGCGTGTGTTTAACACGCGTAATAATCACTGAGCACCTTATGGACAGGCAGATTTTACTGCTTGGGTGGGGCTAGAGGTTCTACATTTCTAACAAATGCCTCTCTAAAACCAAAGTTCCAGGGACCACACTCTGGAGTAGCCAAGTGGACAATCCAACCCTTCAAACAGAAATCTAATGATTGTATTTATAAAGCGCAGTTTAAGATAGTTGAAAATGCTTAGGTTTGTAAATGGACTGAGTAATAGATATTCAATCTTTTAAAGGTGATTGTTACCATTTGGTAGATGCAGAATAAGATTTTTAAGTAGACTGTATAACCTTAACAAAGAAACAAGATTTTAAATTTGCACTTTGGCTAAATTCAGTAGTATGGTTTTTTTTTTTAAGTCAAAACACCCGAATGGCTATTTCTGAGATCTGCCCTCAGGGACGCAAATAACTCATATATAACCAGTCGTTCCACGGGCGGGACATTGTGCTAAGTGTTCTATGTGTGTTATTTTTTTTAGCTCTTCCGCTCGATGACACTATGGGATGGTTGATATCACTATCTCCTCTTTACAGGTGAGGATATTGAGACTTGTCCAGATTGTAAAGTTAGCTGGGGTAAATCAGCACTCGAATCCAAAGCTTTACTGCCATGCTTCTCCCAGGCTATATTGTCACAACATGTCACACAGTGTCCCCACCACCAGAGATTCTTCACCTTGGGTCCAAAACCCCAAGACGTCCCTAAGTTCAAGGGGTCTGAGAACTTGCGTGGGAAAAGAGTTAGGTCTTTATCGTCACTAACTTCTCATTGAAATTTGGCATCGCCTACGATTGTGAACGCGGGCAACAGACTACGGTTTACGAACACCATCTGGCATAAAGTGTGTGATCCTCTGTGGTGTGAATCAGCGCATGTAGGTTAGTAGGGAAAACAAAAGTGAAGTAGAACCCCAAGGTGGAGAAATGGGAGTTTCTTCGGTAAACACTAGCTCAATTTAAATCTGAACTCAGAATTAAGATAACTGTTCAGGGCCAGAGGAGGTCCAGGCAAACCAGGCACCGAGGGGGGCCTCTCTCTTAGGATCACACAAGGAGTAATGCATCCTTTAATTTTCCTTTTCGGCCCCTGAAACTGCCCCTTCCCAGGAGTGGGATCTGTGTCTCTATTGCTTGTTTATTATTTTTATAAAGGTTTCATTGAGATAGGGTTCATCTACCACACAACTCACTTTTCTAAAGTGCACACATCGGTGATTTTTAGCCTATTCAGAGTTTTGCTATGATCACCACAGTACATTTTAGAACATTTGCATCACCCCAAAAAGAAACGCAGCACCCACTCGCAGCCACTTCCTATTTACTCACTCTGCCCCCATCCCCCATAATTTCAGGCAACCGCCAATTAACTTTCTGTTAGAAAGTTAAAAAGCAGGTTTCTGCTTTCAGCTCTGCAAAAATTCCCTAGTAAGAAAATATACGGGTGCCCAGGTGACTCAGTTGGTTAAGTGCCCAACTCTTGATTTCAGCTCAGGTCATGATCTCACAGTTTGTGAGAATGAGTCCCACATAGGGCTCTACGCTGTCAGTGCAGAGCCTGCTTGGAATTCTGTCTCTCTCTCTCTCTCTCAAAATAAATAAATAAACTCAAAAAAAAGGAAAGAAAATATGAAAAGCTTTAATGTGTGCTTGAAATGAGAGAATCGACAATATACAGAGAACCAAAAAAATTAGTAGTTCAGGAAAGATACTTGGCTGCAAGTTATCAGATTACCAAAATACAGCTAATAAAGATGACATTTCAGTACATTTTCCTTGAAAGAAAAAAGGAAAGAAGGAAAGAAACAAAAAGGAAGTCATTTCTTCTATTCCTTCAGGAAGTCCTTTGACCAACCTTGAGCCTACTGGCTGTTCTAGTTAGCTTATTTAAACATATCAGAGCAAATGAGCGCAAAGTTATTTTTGAAAGCAGAGTTATTATCTGTGTAATTCTTTAAATGTGAACCACTACTGTACACAAGCTGATGTCATATTCTTTTTTTTTTTAATGTTTATTTATTTTTGAGAGAGACAGAGTGGGAGAGGGGGCAGAGAAAGAGAGAGACATAGAACCTGAAGCAGGCTCCAGGCTCTGAGCTGTCAGCACAGAAACTGAAGCAGGGCTTGAACTCACGAACCATGAGACTATGACGTGAGCCAGAGTCAGCCACTTAACCAACTGAGCCACCCAGGTGCCTTCAGATGTCATATAATTTTTTTTTCTTCTTCCTTAAACTCACACATTTTATTTTTGAAATATATATTTCTTTTCTCCCTCGGGGGCCAAGGAAACCTGCTCGAGCTTTCATTTCCACATCTTTTTTTTTTAAATAGTTTATTGTCAAATTAGTTTCCACATAACACTCAGTGCTCATCCCCACAAGTGCCCTCCTCCATGCCCATCCCCCCTCCCCCCCACATCCATCAGTCCTCAGTTTTTGTCAGCTTTCAAGAGTCTCTCATGGTTTGCCTCTCTCCCTTTCCCCCACCATTTCCCCCTTTCTTCTCCCCCTTGTTCCTCAGTTAAGTTCCTCCTAATCCTCCTATACGTGCAAACATATGATATTTGTCCTTCTCTGCCTGACTTATTTCGCTCAGCATAACACCCTCAAGGTCCATCCATGTTGCTACACATGGCCAGATTTCATTGTTTCTCATTGCCATGTAGTATTCCATGGTATAGATAAACCACATCTTGATCCATTCATCTGTTGATGGACACTTAGGCTCTTTCCATGTTTTAGCTATTGTGGAGAGCGCTGCTATGAACATTGGGGTGCATGTCCTCCTATGCATCAGCATTTCTGTATCCCTTGGGTAAATTCCTAGCAGTGCTATTGCTAGGTCATAGGGGAGTTCTAGTGTTAGTTTCCTGAGGAACCTCCACACTGTTTTCCAGAGGGGCTGCACCTGTTTACATTCCCACCAACAGTGTAGGAGGGTGCCCGTTTCTCCACATCCTCGCCAGCATCAGATGTCATATTCTTAAATGAGAAAGCCAATGACAGTTGTAAAAACTTAACAGTAATATTAGCTAGCTTTTGTTGAACAATTACTATGCTGTAGGCATCCTATTAAGTGTTTGTAGTATTTTACATCATTTAATCTGCAAACAGTCTTATGCATTAAATTTACAAATGTGGAAATTGAGGCATATTGATCAATTATGTAATTGGCTTCAAGATAAAGGCAAAGATATGACTGCTCCCAGAGACTCAAATCCTAACCAGTATCCAGACTGCTGCTCGGTGCAGAAATGCTTTATTTATTTATTTTTAATTTTCTTAATGTTATTTATTTTTGAGAGAAAGAGACACAGTGTGAGGGGGGGAGGGGCAGACAGAGAGGGAGACACAGAATCCAAAGCAGGCTCCAGGCTCTGAGCTGTCAGCACAGAGCCTGACATGGGGCTCAAACGCACGAGTGGTGAGACTGTGACCTGAGCTAAAGTCGGACACTTAACCGACTGAGCCACCCAGGAACCTCCAAAAATATCTTATTATTACGAGATCAAAGTAGCAAAAGGAAATGGAAGGAAGGGTAGACAGTAGCACTTTCATGTTATCGGTAGTTTCTGAACACCCACTATGGCCCAGCACCCGTGTTCTTACTCCGAATTGCTGAACTAGACAAATTTAAGAAATAGGGGACAAGGGCGCCTGGGTGGCTCGGTTGGTTGAGCGTCCAACTTCGGCTTAGGTCATGATCCTGAGGTTCGTAGGTTCGAGCCCCGCGTCGGGCTCTGTGCTGACAGCTCAGAGCCTGGAGCCTGCTTCAGATTCTGTGTCTCCCTCTCTCTCTGACCCTCCCCTGCTCATGCTGCCCCTCTCTCTCTCTTTCAGAAATAAATAAAACATTAAAAAAAAAAAAAAAGAAATAGGGGACAGACCCCTTTCACTGGTTTCCAGTTTGGACTTGTCGCTGATCTCAAGTCACTGTGGATGACAGATGTTTCCTTTACTCGGACACACTATTGTGTAGCTGAATATTTCTTTAAAATGCTATTCCACTGTTTCTTTTTCTTTCCCCTGTAAACTATAGATTTTTTTAAGAAGCCAAATGGGGTGCTAAAATACAGCCAGATTTATTCTGGGGCCATCGTTACTCTTAACATATTGGCTCAGGATACCCTGTTATCGATGAAGCCCCACCTCTACATGGTCCTTCTCCTTTCCTGTTCCTCCAAATTTAGATGCTGTGTGTTAGCAAACCAGGTACTACCTTAAATTGTGTCCTGTACAGGAACTCTCTGGGCACCAGCCACCATCACTTCCACATTAGGACTTCTTTGTAGGAGCTTCTCATTGTTCATGGTGGTTACGTTCTGTAGAGAAACTTCAGATTCTGAATTTCCCGACACGGAGCTATTATCCCCAGAGGAAATACGGGGTCAGCTTCTCAAAAACCTGTGGCCACAACATTTTCATGACCGAATCGATATATAACCTTGCTTTATTTGTGTTTCTGTTTAAAAATGCCTCCTTTAATAGCTGGTGCTGATTCATTAACACTGAACTCAAAACCAACAGCCCTGTGTCTCATGCCTAAAAGAAGCTTATGGAAAGTACATATTTGTTCTATAAAACACATCGCAGCCCCGTCATGCTTACAGACACTGGACGGAACTCAGCATTATGCCCGAGGCCATGTTACACAACCACGCCACCAAGAAAAAGCACAAAAATGTCAAAACTGTGGGATTAAATAGACTGCAAAAAAGACACTCGTTCATAGTCTGTGAGCAGAAATAAGAAGGCAAAACATCACCCTGTTCGGCCTCAGCTGGGAACTTGTGAGTTGGGCAAAGCAAATTTTTTGCCTTTCTGCACGTCCCCAGATGACCAAGAAACGTGGTGAGTAATGATATGGGGGCTACAATCAAATGTTGTAAATGCAGAATCTGTGAATACTGAGGATTGATTGGGTTTCTATGCCCTACGGCGTCACGAGTGTCACCTTATTACAGGCATCGACATCAGAGATGTGCTTGGAACCCACCGCAGGTCTCCAACTCCTAGCTCTTCAAGCCAGAAACCCAAGGGGTATTGTTCTGACTACATGACATTTCTCTCTCCCCAAATCACCATTCCTTGGTCAGCTAAGATTCCCAGATGCAAAAGAAAGTCAGAAAAACATCTACTCTGTTTTATTTAAGGACTTGGACTCTCTTCACCCTGCTGCTCAGGGAGTTTGAGAGCAGACATCACCCTGAACTTCCCACCCTCCGTGGTGCCCAGCGCTTTGTGGAGATAAAATGCTTTCGTTGAGAAAGGGCAAGAACACTATCATTGCACGTCAGTTGTATTTATTTGTTTGCTTAAATTCATTTGCTACCTTACCATTGGGTTCCTTTTTCATTATGACTATTTCAGATTGAAGAAAAACCTCCAGAAAATTAACAAGCAAAATGAAACTGTTGCTACTCAACTGTTACTGGCCCAAGGGAGTGGCGATTTCACCCAACCTCTGAGGAACTCTGTTCTCATTTATTTTACTTTAACAAATCTTAGCATTTTGCCATCTCTGATTGGGAAAGTTATTTTTTAAAAGAAGGGAAAAACAAACTCCACTGTGCACCCCACTCATCATCCTTCCTTTACCTCTTTCTCCAAAGCAGTCACTGTACCAAAGTTCACGTGCTTGTATTCGTTGCTACATAGGCACCCACAGTCAGTAGACCTTCAAGCCCATGGTATTTATAGTATTTACAGTACTGTGCAAGGACTTCCACTTGCAATGGAGTCGGAGGATATAAAGCAGAAATCTCACACACGTGCTGTCGGGAAAACAAGACTTCAGGGTTGGGAGGCTGATTTTCCATAAATGCCCAATTTACAGAAAACCGACAATGTTGAAAATTTCATGAGATGATCGAGAGATGGTTTCCAGGCATGACCCTGACCTAGGTCAGGTTGGTCTCACCAAAGAGGCTGAATTGAGCTTTGTTTGTGTGACTGGACTGGTTTTGTTTGCCTGAGGAATTTTCAAAGTTGGTCTCCATTGGCTTTGATTTTTTTTATCAGACTCCAACTGAATTCTTTTCTCTTTGCATCCCCTATCCTTATATACTGCCCACCACAAGCCCTCAATGGGTATGCCTCTAGCTTGCTATAGTTTGCAGATCCTATATCACAATTCCCCTGCTTTTCATGAATAAACTCATCTTTTTTTGACAACTTTGAGCTTGTCATGGCTTCTTTTTTTGGGTTGACAGTATCCTACAGTGTTTTCTTTCTTTTTTCCCTTTTCTGTCAACAGGACTGGTCTAGACTTCCTCGTATCAACCAATGGAGCAAGAAAAGATAATTCTTCATCAGAGGAGGGGCAAGGTATTTTTGAGTAATAATATCTATGGGAGCGCCTGGGTGGCTCAGTCTTTAAGCATCTGACTTCAGCTCAGGTCATGATCTCACAGTTTGTGGGTTCAAGCCCCGAATCTGGCTCTGTGCTGACAGTTAGCTCAGAGCCTGGATCCTGTTTCGGATTCTGTGTCTCCCTCTCTCTCTGACCCTCCCCTGCTCACGCTGTATCTCTCTCTTTCTCAGAAATAAATAAAAACATTTAAAATTTAAAAAATATATTATCTATGATAAGTTTAGCTCTTTTAAAAATGCTTCTTTTATTAATTTTGGGGTTTTTTTCTTTTTTTCTTTTGAAAAATTATAAAGCTGCAGAGAAGCTGAAAAATTGTGCAGGGACTACTTGTATAAACCTCATTGAGATTCACCACTTGTTCACATTTGGTATTTTATTTACCTCTAATATATATTGTAATGGGCTGAATGATGTCCCTCTTAAATTCATTTGTGGAAGTCCTAACCCCTGGCACCTCAGAATATGATTGTATTTAGGCCTAGGTCTTTAAGGAAGTCATCAAGTTAAAATGAAGCTAGTAGGGAGGGCCCCAATCCAATAGTAACTGTCCTTCTAAGAGGAAATTAGAGAAAGACACAGAGGAAAACTGATGTGAAGACACAGGGAGAAGATGGCCATCTCCAAGCCAAGAAGAGAGGCTTCAGAAGAAATTGAAGGATTTCAGAACGAGTGCCCTCAAAGTGTGTCACCTTGACATGTGGACTATGTTTGAGCTGAAGGCAATCAAGGCCTGGCAGGCTTAAGAAAACCTTTTCCCCTTCCTGTAAGTACCTAGAAGAATTTAACTTGGGGGTCTTTCCCAGAATACGATTTTTACCAGAGGTGAATTTTATCTGGCAGGGCAGACATTTAATTACCAAACATCTGCTTTTCCTCTGGTCCTGTGCATTCCCCTCCCCTTTGAAGCTCCGGGCCCCTACCTCGTTTCTTAGCTCAAGATGGCATATACTCTTTATTTTACCTTTCCGTCTTTGAGTCTCTCATATATATGGGGCTGCCACATGTATGAAATTAAATTTGTTTTCTCCTGTTAACATTTCTAAAGTTAACTTGATTGTTGAACCAGCCAGAGAACTGAAAAGGGTAGAGGAGGAATTTTTCCTCCCTAACAAAACTAACAGTGAGAACACCTGGATCTTGGACTTCAAGTCTTCGGACTATGAGGAAATAAATTGCTATTGTTTAAACCACCCAGTCTGTGGTCTTTTGTTCTGGAATCCTAGAAAACTTACACACACACATACAGATATACACATACATATGGATATATACAAATACATAAATAACCATTTAAAAGTAGATGGCAGGCGTCATGATAGTTTATCCTAAGTATTTCAGCATTCAAGGATCCGAGGGTAAGATCATCCTCTTACATAACCAAAACACCCTTCTCACATTTAAGAAAATTAACATTTATTTTTTTTTAATGTTTTTTATTTATTTCTAGGAGAGAGAGAGAGACAGCGTGAGCAGGGGAGGGTCAGAGAGAGAGGGAGTGACAGACTCTGAAACAGGCTCCAGGCTCTGAGCTGGCAGTCAGCACAGAGCCCGACGCGGGGCTCGAACCCACGAACCGCGAGATCATGACCTAAGCGAAAGTCGGACGCTTAACCGACTAAGCCACCCAGGCGCCCCGAAAATTAACATTTAAACGAAGAATCCCACCTAATGTACTTTCTATATTACATTTCCCCAATTGTCTCAAAATAGATTTTACAGCTATGCTTTGATTTTCTGTTTTGCTTCAAGGTCTGATCAAAGCATATGAATTATGGTTGCCTATCATGCTTTTTTAGTCTCTATTAATTGAGAAGAGTCCCTGTGTCTCTGTTATTTTCTCTCAGGACACCAATGTAGACAGGTCTTCCCATTACTGGTCATGTTAAGTGTCTTCGTTCACTGTGTGTATGTGTGTGTGTGTGTTAAGTTTTTATTTTATAATGATTATAGACTCACAGAAAGTTGCAAAACTAATAGAGAGCACATATACCCTTCACCCAGTTTCTACCTCTGGTTACAGTCCTTGTAGCTATAGCATAATATCGGGGCACCTGGGTAGCTCAGTCGCTTAAGGGTCTGACTCTTGATCTTGGCTCAGGTCATGATCTCATGGTTCATGGGGATTGAGTCCCAAGTCGGGCTCTGTGCTGACAGAGTGGAGCCTGTTTGAGATTCTCTTTTTTTTCTCTCTCCCTGCCCCTCCCCTGCTCACATACACTCTCTTGTCTCGCTCTCAAATATTTTTTAAAAACTATAGGGTAATATCAAAACCTGGAATTTAACATTGTTTGGATAGTTCTGTGTCACTTCATCACATATGTGGATCCCTGTCACCAGCACCACAATCTAGGTACAGGACCGTTCCATCACCGCCAAGATCTCCCCTGTGCTACCTTTTATAATCTTCCCCACTCATTTCAAGAATGTCATCTAAACTGAATCATAGTGTGAGTGTATTTTTAATATGGTTTCTGCTGTTAACAACAGCAAAAATCTTTACCAGGCAAGAAATAAAAGGACCAACCTCTTCCCTGAAGCTGGCTGACTACTTCACTTTAGTTATTAACATATCAACATTTGGCCTCCCTTTTATAGTTGAAAAATACACAATACCCCTTTCTCCCTCACACACATAAACATACACCTTTTCAGAAAGGAGGGAGGCCCTTCCATCTATGGGTGAAGAGACTTACGGTGTAGATTTGAAAGGCAATTAAAGAGTACATTTGAGAACCAAACATAAAATGTATTCCTGAAAAGAGATTCAGATGAGTCTTTTAAAAGAAGGGGAGTCACAGCATTATTTCCAAGTTTCTACCTTTTTGAAAAGGTGATGTGAATTTTTTTCAGATGGGATAGGACTGATTTCCTTCATCATTGGATTCGCGGTGGATATACACGTTCAGGCGCTTTTGACCATCATTCTGCCAAATGGCAAAGCTTAAACAATTTAGTGAGGAGCTGAGTGTCCTTTACTCAGAAGAAAACAATGCGTGAATTGAGGGAGTACTTTCTGTGCAAGTGGAACACTGTTTCCAAGGGATTTGGGGGACGTACGTTGACAGTTTATAGAGCTTTAGAAGAGGGAATTCAGATACAGGGTATAATTGGCTGGGAGGTGGGAGATTTCCTTACAAGGCTGCCAGGCCCAATTTCTACAGGGAAGCTTGCTAAAACCGAATAGAGGATGGTGATTGCTTTACATGCAGTGGCCTTGACAGATGTTTTCCGTAAGAGCAAGCTGACTTGGGTTTATTTTTTTAAGTATTTATTTATTAAATTTTTTGTAATGTTTATTTATTTTTGAGAGAGAGACAGAGACAGAGTGTGAGTGGGGGAGGGGCAGAGAGAGAGGGAGACACAGAATCCAAAGCAAGCTCCAGGCTCTGAGCTGTCAGCACAGAGCCCTATGTGGGTCTCAAACCCACGAACTGTGAGATCATGATTTGAGCCAAAGTTGGATGCTTAACCAACTAAGCCACCCACGCGCCCCTCTCCCTTAGGATTCTTAGGTCAAAGTCTCCAGCTCTGCGGTTTGATTTCAACCAGAAAATGTGTGCATTTCTTTATTTGCTTGCCTGTGCACAACCACCAGGGGAGCTTCTCAGGGAAATGACCACAGAGAAGGCTTCTTACTCCCAGCTTAATACACAGTGAAACCAGAGACCCACCTCTGCAAGTCAGAACAGCCCAGGACTGTTCCATGTCCCCTCTAGATGGGCAGAGATTTTGCATCAAATCTGTCTACCTCTTCTCTTCCCCATTCTCTCCAGACTATGGGCCCACTTAAACAATGGCCATACAGCTCTGGGCAGTGTACAGTGATTTTATAGAAGGGCCCCCTACAAGTCAGAATGCCTCTTGAGTTTCACCCCTTGTGCTGAAAGTTTAACTCATTTTTGTTCTTCCTTATATTTTGAAACTATGCCGGAGCCTATAATTTTACCTATTCGTTTTGCTTCAGACTCATCCTTTAAGTTTTGAATTGCGATGCTTTCTTTGGCCAGGAAAAATTGAGAAAGACTGAACTGATCAAAACCAACAATAAAGGATTAAACCAAGATCACTAAGTATCCTGTCTAGTATACCCTTCTGGGGTAGCCTCACCTTTCATTGTTTTGCTTTTTTAATTCTTATTTCTTTTTGAGAGAGAGCAAGAGCACACAAGCAGGGGAGGGCCAAAGAGAGAGGGAGACAGAGGATCCAAAGCAGGCTCTGCACTGACCGCAGATAGACCAGTGTGGGGCTTGAACTCACGAACCACAAGATCATGACTTGAGCCAAAGTCAGATGATTAACGAACCGAGCCACCCAGGCGCCCTGCCTTTCATTGTTTTTAAGCTGTTTGTAGTTGTGAAAGAATTTCAATCTGCAATAGAGTCGGAGGGTATAAAGTGGAAAATTTCCCACATGTGCTGTCAGGAAAATAACTTAAATATGTTAGGATCACTCTTCTATGTTGGATTTGTTGTTTTAACTGCCTTATTTTGAGTTTTCTTTATAGTCCTTTTTTTCTTTCATCTCACTGCTCCCCTGTCTTCCTGACTTTTTTTCCATGTTTGTTTTGAAAATTTTCCTATACTCAGGCCCTTCCCACTTTTTTTGTTTGTTTATTTCTGAGACAGACAGAAAAAGAGCATGAGCAGGGGTGGGGCAAAGAGCGAGAGAGACACAGAATCTGAAACAGGCTCTGAGCTGTCAGCACAGAGCCCAACGCGGAGCTTGAACCCACAAACCGTGAGATCATGACCTGAGCTGAAGTCCGACACTCAACCGACTGAGCCACCCAGGCACCCAGTCCCTTCCCACTTTTTTTTTTTGCCATTTGTGTGGAAGCTACAGATTGTATCTCTAACCTTTGGTGACTGTTTGTGAAATTTTTCACACATAGAGTGAAAAAATGTCAAGTGCAAAACAATCTGTATAGTATGCTATCTTAGAGAAATAAAGAGGCAAAAGTGAGAATACATATTCACATTTTGATATATTTACAAAATGAAAAGATAAAGAAATTAAAACAAAATAAGACAGTATTTAAAAATCCAACATAGATCAGTAATGGCAATAGATCTAACTAAATTAACAATCTTACTAAAATACAGTGAAGAACAGGCTACATTAAAACAAAATTAACTAAATCAGAAATTAATACAATTGCTCACCTATGAGACAGTCTGGAGATTGAGAGAGATCAGGGAAAAGAAGAGAGTTTTTTAACGTGATTTTGAGTTTGGGGCTATATAAAAACATTAGTTGTTAAAACTATATAATTAACTTAAAATCAAGATATTTTTATCATGTAAAAATTTTGACAAACACACATAAATCTAACTGTTTGTGACAGTCTGAAATTACTATCTTTATCTTTCTCCCAAACACAATGTGTCCATACTAAGCTGTATCCATGAAACAACCTTCCCACACCCACATCACTATTATGTAGACTTTCAGTTGTTACATGTATTTTTTTAATACTAGATTCTTATTTTGTCTTTATATCTTAGTTTATCCTTGTACTCCATTCCCCAATGTTTGCACAGTTTAGATTATGTGTTCTTTGAGTTAAGTGCCTCTGGGTGGACCCCGTGTGTGATGTTGCGGATTCCTAACCCCGCCCCGTCCCGGCCACTGGAGTAGGAAACTATCATAGGGCTCATGTCAGTGTTAGCTCAAACCCTGCATCCAAATGACCTCGAAAGATCTGGGTATTCTTTTCTTTCTTTCTTTCTTTTTTAAGTTTATTTATTTATTTTGAGAGAGAGAGAGAGAGAGAGAGAGAATCCCAAGCAGCCTCCACGCTGTCAGCACAGAGCCCAACACGGGACTTGATCTCACAAACCGTAAGATCATGACCTGAGCCAATATCAGGAGTCCAACGCTTAACTGACAGCGCCATCCTGGTGCCCCGGAAGATCTGGGTTTTCCACTTTTCCCAGTGTATTGCTACGTAAGTAAATGACCGTAGATCCCTTTGGACAAGGCCTGGGGCATCACTACCACATAGGCTTGCTCTGGTGTTGCAAGGTCCTCCCTCACTGGGGCGTAGCCTTTCTCAGGGGATTCTGGATACGAAAACCAGTCCAGCTCTAGAAACTGGGCAGGAGATTGTGACTTTCCACTGGGCACACCTTCTTTGTTGATATCTGTCTCTGTGCCTGTCTTTTCTGCCCCTCTCTTCATGTCTTCT